TCAACCGGTGTAGCTGTCGACTGATAGGCATTCCGAGCGTCAGGAGCTGGACGAGGGACTACAGAAATAGGCGGTGCTGGCGGCGGAGCTGTGGGCATGCGTCCTAGAGGTATGGCTGGAGGTCCACTCTGTACACTTCTACCTGTAGCTGCCGCACCCGTGCTCGTAGCTCGCTCAAATCTTGATGGCTCTCTCTGTGTACTATTGTCTGTATGGTGGCCTCTCTTCGGCTTCTTTAGGCGGCCCTTACGAATTGTAACAACCTCCGGATCCTGTACGTTGTGAAATGGAAGCTTTATAGCTAGCTGAAGTATATCTGGCCGGTGAAACTACCAATGATGATCAATCTCTTGTGGTTGTATACGTAGCACACCATCCTCAACGACGCCTAGTGCTTGGTGTAGACGATTATGCAGCGTATGCGCACACGGGAGGCTATAGATCATTTCAAATGTACGTGTATAGCCCCACAGTTGGTAGTTAGCTGACTTAGCCTTCCGTACTTGAGGCTCGAGAAGGCGTAGTGCGTACGGTGCAATCTTGAAGCGTAGGTCACGGAATTCCGGTAAATTCACGTCGTGAGGCCACCGAGCATGCTGCGAGGCCTTCTTGTCCTTGTATGTAGCCTGGCTATTAAGTATAAGGTTAAATATGTTAAGGAGAACATTGTATAGGTGGCCGGTAGAGACCTGGAGGTACTGTTTCAGCGTGCCGTGGCCGCCCTCGTTCCGTGATGTAACACTGTGATCGGTTAGCATTATACACCTAAATTTGCATCTGCTCGACCCAAAACTCAACACCAAGATGTGCGAATTTAAAGCCTAAACTTCATAAGGGGTTTGCAGTTGTATAGAATAAGCAGCGCTGAAGAGGGCAAGAGCATAGCTTAAAGAATGATTAAGAAATAGGATATAAGCAAACACTTACACTGTACTAAAATGTCGAGTGCTCTTTGTATAGCAGTACGCCCACTGCCACCTACACGGCCACCACTCATTATCTATATACTTAATCAGCTGCCACCTCTCCTTGTAGTCCTCCTGTAGCTTCTTCTACTTACTCTTAAACTTATCCTAATTAACCTTCCTAACTAGAGCGCTCCAGCGGCCAAGGAATTCACTCTTTTTGTCCTGTTCCTTTTTCTGTACAGCAGCTCTCTCCTCATCTGTTATAGGTGTAGGAGGTGCGCTGCCTGCCTTGTACGTAGGTGCCTCCTTATAGACCTCAGCTAGCTTGGTGACAAAGTTTATGTTAATATGCCATATACACAGCAGCTGCGGGACACCCGGCCACTTAGCTCTTAGGGCCTTCTTTAACGCGGCTTCTTTATCTATACAGAAAACGCGTGGGCGTAGCAAATACGCTTGGAAAAGCTCGTAAAGCTGTTGTGCTGCCCAGTCGTAGTTCGGGTCCTTCTCTCTTGGAATAAAATAATAGGCAATCTCGAAGCTAGTTCCTATGCACGTAATACCCGTTATATACAGCAACAGTATACTAAAACGGTTAGTCTTGTATATACAGTTAAGGAGGATAATATTATAGTTAGACTTAAGGAGCTCAATCGACTGTGGGTGTGCAAAGAAGAGGTAATTAACGCGGTTTTCATCATCCAGTAAATAGCTATAGAAGAACTTGCCCGCCTCTCTATCGCTGCTATACGTTTCTAGCGTGTGGAGTAGTGCCTGGATAGGACTAAGGCCTTTAAGGAGTTCCTTCCTATATAATTTGCGCTTATTATTGATATTGTCCTTTGTAATACTTACCCCCTGCTTTAGCAGCTTTATATATATTGCTGCAGGTGCACTACCACTAGAAAGGTTATTGCAAATAACCTTCCTTACCTCCTCTGTACGCTCAAGGCGACGTAGTACAGGCAAGGCTGTTGTTTTAAGTATAGCTTTATAGCCAAAATGAGAGGCTTCTGTTATTTCCCACATCCATGTGCCTTCGGGCTGTCGGGTGAGAGTTCCTTTTATAGTACAGCCGGTCCTCTTGCTTCCAGTCTCACGTATACGGTTCTAAGGCACGTGAAGGCGTGCAAAAGTACACATATACCATATTTTTCGGGTCGTCTTTGCTATAGTCTTGTCCGGTTTGGTACGATATTTGGCCAACCCGTAGCCCTGCAATAAGGCGTGCGTTTGTAGAGCAATATGCGCTTCCTCCGCTGTAGCGTAGTACGCTAGCCGTGGCGGCTGGAGGGCCATGGTGAGTGTATTGTGGAGGTGTATTGTGGAGGTGGAGGAAGAGGCGGTGATTGCTTGTGTACACGCCGCATTTGGAGTGAGCATTTAGAATTGGTAAGCGAATTAAGCGAGCGAATCGGAGGCCCTAGCCGGGCCTCCGAGCCAATTAGAGGGCGGTGAAACGACAGGGGTTTAGGGGGTGTACAACTACTAGAAAGGGGGGTGTACAACTACTAAAAAGGGGGTGTACAGGTACTAGCGCCCTTTTAATTGATTATTAGCAAGTATGCTTCGGCCGCCCCCGTTCAAGCGCTATCATATCGTACACCTCGACTAACCACTTATACCTCTCGCCACCATCCACAATAACTGCGAAAAGGTTTCCACGGCTTACAAGCTGAAAAACGGATTCATCGTGCTCCCTCAGATCGAAGCAGAACTCAGCTGTTTGGCGGTCCTAGACCTGAAGTAGCCCATTCATCGAACCAATCACTATATAATCTTTGAACCAGGCAAATCCGCGTATTGTGTTGTTTGTCTCGGCCACATCTCCCACAAAGTGTTCTCGCACAAGGCTACCAGTGATCCACTCCATGTCCAAAACGAGCCGTCCACAGACGCTGAAGTGAGCAACTGAGCATTTCCCGGCTGTGTTGAGAGCTGCAAAACAAGACGTGTATGGTCTTTGCAAGTAGCGACACATGCCCTGTTTGTGGGGCGCGGCCTATTAGCGGTGCTTTGGGGTGTTTTTAGGGTATGTATGTATAGTGAATACTTACCCGGAGCTAATGGCCTAGATCTTTATTTCTAGTCCAGACGAGCCGTGCCCAGATCTGGGGTTGGCCTGGAAGTGTCCGTCGTTGCTGAGTGGGGAGAGGGGAGGGGAAGGGATTGAGGATTACCAGTGTTTTGATTGATGGAGCACTAACGATCAGGACGGGGTAGTCGGGGTGTTGTTTCTACGCAATATTGCTGGAGAGGAAGATCATGGATTAGCACCAAGGACAACAAATCTACGCTCGACAACGTAAAGTGTCCATAGGCCCGCTGAGTACTCACTATACCTTCGCCACTGCCAGCAGTACTACCACGTCACTCCCCTGCTGTTACTGCTCTTCCTTGTATAATCTTCAATCTTTCCAAGTACCCAAACACCCATAACACTCACACTTTCAAGTACCCCAACATCCTTTTCTTCAAGCATACTGCACTTGTCCCTTCTATTAAATACCACTACACCTCTGAGAAACACTACACTGCACTTACCCCCTTTACTCATCATCTATATCACAACCTCATCCCCAAAATGCAACCCACCGACAACAACTTCCGCTACTCAGGCCACACCGCCCGCGGCAACATCTACCGCCCCAACCCCACCGGTGCTAGCGACATGCGCGAAGCGCGCGCCCGCGCCGCAGAAGCCCGGATACGACAAGAAGCCAGAGAACAAGAATTAGCGAGGAGGACCGAGCACCGACTTCGCGCTTACGAGGACTTGACTGGGCGGCGGGACCAAATGCAAGGCCCAGGGGCTCGGAGACAGCCCGCAGCTGCGCCAACAGGTAATATGAGGGCGGCATATCCTGGTACTGGGGCGTATGGAGGAGGTTACAGGGCGCCTACTGGAGGTGTCGGGCCGTCTTGGATGCCGACTTCACAGGAGCGGGAGGGATTTACGGGAAGGTATGCTGCGCCGGCTGCCTCTAGGGGGGTGGGCGGGAATGCGCCTCGTGCGGCTATGGTAGCTCGTGGTCTAGCACCTGCTGTGCAGCCGAGGAATCATTACCGGTCTCAGATCCATGGGTTGGCGGATCTTTCGGACGAAGAGGTTGCGCCGCCGTATAACCCTTTTCGGAATATGAGGAGTGAGATGGTGGATAGTGGGCGGATGGATTGGAGTGGAGCGCAGCCGGTGAGGGGGCTGGATGAGGAAGTAGAGTGAGCAGAGGGATGGAGATGGTGATATGGTAGAGATTGAGAGGTTGGTCTTTCTTTTTACCTTTAACTTCAACGAGTTGATTACATATGTGAAGATGATGGGTTATACTCTGCCTCAAAGCAGCCTTTCAGTGGCATATGTTTCGTAGCGTTGGTTCTGACCCTTTGAGCGGTAAATTAGCTGCTTTACCGAAAATATCCTACCCTCCCCTCCCTACTCTTGCTTTCCCCTTCAACTCGCCGTAACAAGAATCGACTCCATCCATGGATAAACATACGAATTAGCCTCTGGATACCCCATATGTGCTCTCCCCTGAACGAACCTCCCCTCCTTCGGCGTCCCATACTCCATCAGCAACGTACTATCCTCAATCGGCATACACCCATCCAACACCCCATTAATCAGCAGCAAACGGCAACTCGGTAACCCTTTCCCCACCACCGCAACCCCCTCCCCCTCTCCACTAACCAGACTAAACGTCTTCTGACACTTCTCCTTCATCTCCTCAAAGCTCTCATACCCATACTTCTCGCAATACGCCCGCTCCAGTCCGAAGGGGTACTCGTGCTTCCCAACCTGCTCGAGCCACTCGCGGCCGATGTAATGGTGCGTCCCTGCCCCGTGCCCGACGGACCCAACAAGAGAGGAGGCGTGGGTGTGCGCAAGGCGGATGGCGTAGTAGCCGCCTGCACTCAAGCCCCACGCGAGCACTTTCTTGCTGTCAAACTGCGGCTGAGAGGCAATCCATTCTAAGATGCTCGTGAACAGCCGGTCCGGCGACAACGGATCCGTCTTCGCCGCCGGACAATCCACCGTCGTCCCGGGGATATCGCAGATCACGGTCGCCCAGCCGCGCTTCAGATGCTCTTCCGTGCGCTCCGTGTTGTCAGGCCTATGGCCGTCGAGCCCGGTGATCAACAGCACAACCGGGCAAGGCGAGGATTTTGAAGCGGTCGGGGGAATGCGTAGGTAGAGCGGGATAGCATCGCCATCACCAGTACCAGCATGAGTATGCTGTACCACCGTCTCAGTGACCGGAACATCCCAAAGGCTCGCACCGCGGAGGTACGCGCGCTTCTGGGTTTCGAAGACCTGTTTCTTCAAGTCGCCGCTGATGTAGGGGAACCTCGCCAATCTATAGATCGCGTTGGCGCGCTTGTAGAACTGGATGGCGAGGGCTTTGTCTGAGTTCTCTGCGCCTTCTGCTTTTGCGACAAGCGCGTCGGCGGCGGGGAGGAAGGCGGAGGTGTACGCGTCCGAATAGGGGTCGTTGATATCCTTAGCGATGAGGTGGGTGAAGATGGGCTCGAAGTCTTCGAATACGCCGTCGTGGAATGGGTAGACGCCGCGCTTGCAGGGGAAGTGCCAGCGCTGCGCCCAGAGGGTTGCGATGCTGCCAGCGTGGCCGTAGTCTCTTGTGAAGAGATCGCCAAGGATCCAGTTGGTGGGCATCTTGGGCTTTTAGGAAGGTTAGGAGACTTTTTGATGGTTGAGTTTAGATTTGGGATGACTTTATGAGATTGAGGTCAAGTCTTTTTACATGTTAGGAACCATGGTTCGTTGATATATCCGTTTCGGTGATGGCGGGGCCGAGAATGTGGAGCTGCTGTGGGAGGCTGCAGGCACTTCCGGCACCCCGCATTTTGGCCTATTTAAAGGTCAAGGATGTTATTTATGGGTCTTAGATTATAGAAGTGGTCTTAATCCACTTAGTAAATTGTTGCTATTGAGAGAGACAGCTCTACAACTGTCAAAATAAACCAAGAAGTAGCTACAAGGTTGAAGAGACAGAAGATCACACAAGACGAATAAAGTCTTAATTGTATAAATAATGCATCTACATAAAGATCAAAGAATGTAGAAAGGCAAGCCCAACAAAAACCACAGCGCTATGCAATGCAACCGATAGATGCTGTGCCAAAAACAAATGCAATTCCCCGCTCCACCATCGCAATGCAATACACCAAAAGGCACTTAAGCCACAACTCCATTAGTCTGGCAGTTGATCGTAACCCCGTTGAGAAGCTGAGGAATAGCAGCATAGGGGTTGCCGTCAATATCAGCAAAGGTCTTCTTGTCGTTGATGACGACAGCCCGGCCGTCGAGGTCGAAGACGCAGGCGGAGAAGACATTGGGAGGAAGCGTCACGAACTGGATGCTGGTGGCGAGGATCTGGCCATTGGGGGCAACGGAGGTGCCGAGGAAGAGGTCGACTAGCGGGACGTCAACGCCATTGCCTGGGATAGTGGCGGCGGCGTTGGCACCGGTCAGATCGTTGGTGAGGGAAAAGGTGACGTTGGCAGGGACGCTGGCAGCCGGAGTGGGAATGGCGGAGACGGCGGCGACGAGGCCGAAAGCGATGGCGGCGAAGGGCTTCATGTTGATGTTGGTGGGTGGTTGGTTTGAAGGATAGATGTGAAGTATTTTGAGTGTTGAAGAGTTGATGAAGTGATGAAGTAGTAGTAGATGGTTGATGCTTTGTAGTGGGCTGTTGAACTGTTGTGATGATGGTCTTTCAACTGCGATGCAGGATACTCTTTATACCTCCTGATCGTGAGCCACTTCTTCCATAGTCTAATTTTGGAGCTGAGTATTTCTTGGAGCTGTGCATTGCCATCGTCAGCTCGTTCCGGATGTTAGCAGCTGCGGGGGTGAGAAATGATGGGTAAGGTGCACAGCCACTAGAACACTACTGCAACCTTAGAATTAAGCTTGATGATCTTGGTAACAGCTTTGCGAGCAGAAAAGGTAAGCTTACTGGGTAGTACTGGGGCTGAGAAATTTGCCAAGTCCGCTCAGCCTCTTGCCTCTCCCGCTCTCCGCCTCCGCCATCGCTCCATCTTGGCACTTACGAACCCAAAATAAAGTGGGGCATGAGTTTTGCAGGAGGCGCACATGATTTGATTTAGCTTAGGGACTTGTGATTGGTTGAAATTGAATAAGTACTCGTGAAATACCTAGGCAATGACAGAAAGTGCTCCGCATTTACCACATGCGTGCTGGTCTCAAATCATAGTACCTACTCAGTAGCGACTAGGCTGATAAAGATTCTAGTACGTAAAGGTCAAGGCATAATAAAAATTTGCTCATGAAACTCGGCTCGACCGTGACCTTAGCTTCCCCCTCGACGTGAGAATGGCCAGCTGGTTGTAATGTACGGAACATTCTTGCGCTGTGGCTTTAAATCAACAAACAGATGCCGCTTCGGTGTATTGGTGAGTCTGTTAAAATCTCTGTATGATCCTAAACTCAAAACTCCATGCTTTAATCATTCCGTGTTACTAACGGTATCAGAATCTTGTAGCGAAGTTGGCAAATCTACGCGAGAAAGTCTCGTCAGCGAAAGGCATCAGCGCCATCGTATTTCCGCAATACGGTAATCTAGAGTAGAAATTGGAGACATCCGTAGAAGTGATCACTGGTGGCGTCAGCATAACTCTTGGAGATGAACCGGGTTGCTCAGCCGCCTCAGGCCCCCATCTTCGTTTATCTGAACACGACTGTCAATTAGCCGCAGTCGAGACTGTTGACTACACGAAGTCGCTTGGCAGCTGCGTTGGAGCTGAAGGTTGATGGAGCGAGGTGAGGTGAGGTGAGATCGGGTTCTCCGTAGAATATTCTGGTGGCTTGGCAGAGTCGGGGCGGTGAATACTTTGTCCGAACACCTCCTGTACGTTCTTGACAAACCACGGTCGAAACTATAACATGGCATAGAGAGTGTGTCGTAGCTGTTTCTGTATGGGCGATCTTTGAGACTCATTGTTGTAAGATCATTCACTTCAAGACTCAGAAGTTAGAATACCTCGAAAAAAAAGCGAGTCGATCACTCAGATACTCTGCGCTAATATAGTTGGTGTCTTAGAGACGTTTCCGCTTTATTCAACCGGGTTCGATACAAGAATGAAAGTGTCAAATCGTGTTCGTACGCGCGAAGAATTTGAATGTTCTCAGAGGACTCGATAGAAAGTAGGCCTTGAATATTGAATGAGTAAGGGATTGTAGATACATGTCGCATAGAAACGAAGTTTCAATTACTCTCAACCACTCATGGACGAGTTCATGACAGAACAAGCTCAGGACTCTTCTTCCATTCCGTAAGGGTCCCAGTCCCAGCCCTTGCTGGCGTCATATGAATCCCACCCACCCTCAGTATCGTTCACATTGACTTCGAGTGGCTCGCTCTTGAGCACGTCTAGAGCGCCGCGTAAGCGCTCGTCGAGGATTTGAGAATGTTTTATCTATTACTGTAATTAACTTTGTGTAGGTTTCCACAATCAATTTGCCTACTTACAGGCTTGTCGATCCTTCTACCTTGAGCGTCTCCCAGTGATTCCCCGCGGAATATGTTCTCTGGCCAATCGCACTGTTCGTTCAGTTTTAGATAGTCTGATTCTAAAGCAATTGTATTCAATGCAACTCACTACGAATGCGAACATAGCGCTGTAATACTGGTTGAAGTGATACGGGCTCTCTGTGGGTTCGATGTTCGGGTGACCAATCTTGAACAAGTCCTGGAGTTGCTTCAAGAAAATGAGGATCCCTTCACGACTCTTGTTCTTAGTCTTTTCGATCATTTGCGCCGCAATCCGGGAGTAAGGAACCTGCAGTGAGGATTAGTCAGGTCTAGGGAGCCCGCTTTCGAGGTGATCAAGAAGGAATATACATAGTGATTGTAAACGCCTTCTTCAGTGCCGTCCTTTTTGCCGTCGACTGCCGTTTTCACATAGGATCGCATACCCTCCCGTTTATGCTCCACTTCCTCGATGATTTCAGCCATCCAATCCTCATCGCGATCCGAGTCACCAGCTTTACCCATGTCCGAGGACGACCACAGAATAATCATCTTAAGGTTTGGCAATAAGATCCGTGGGAACTTCGGATCGGTTAGTAGCTGTAAGTCGACTCGAAATGGTGTGAGGAGAAGGAGACCCGGTGGTAGCGAACCTAAGGGTTTAAATATTTGATGAGATGCAAGCTTCTCGCGCCCGTGCTCGTACTATCTTAGAGGCAACGGTATACACAGAACCTCAACATGAGCTGAAGTAGGCGCTAGAATTGCTGTGGCTGGTCGAGGCCCTCGGGACTCACATGTCGAAGCTATCTTCGTGAACGCCGTCCGACAGTCTCAGCTCGGAGATGGGCGACTAAGAACGCCGATGCAAGAGCCCGCAGTTGGCAATTCGTTGACTCTGACAGCCAGAACACGCCCCACCGATAATCTGAGACTCTTCACTATCGGCCTGGCCGAGATCATGCACGGCGTTGTCGAGACTGGCTTTTTACGTTGCGCCTACGCAGGTCGGCTACACGATACATAGCTCCTATACTGTACACAGAATAGCTCAGATATCGATGTATGCAGGGGAAAACTATCACAGCGCGTTAGAATGGTGGAGAAAGAGGAAGAGGTGAGGTTTGGCGAAGAGAAGCTGGGCCGGCCCGTTCAGCTGTCCAGACGAGACGCCACTGCAGGGGCTCGTCCCGTCCCGCTTCCCCGCATGAACATCCATCATCACCACTCAAGAGATACGCAAGTCTGGGAATATTTCTTCTTCGAGGGTAATATTGACGGCGTATATACTCAGAGGCTGGAGTTGGTAATGTTTAGCTGCGCGCATCGTCACACTCCAGGCGTGGCTGATATAGAAAGCCAGCTACCAATGCTGGTCGTTTAATGCTCGGATGCAGACCTGGTTAGAATACTGTTTCGGGCCCATACGTCTGGATTCGGCTTTTCAGCGCATTCCCCCAGACTCAGGGTAACCTCTCCGTAGCAGGGTCTAAGTAGTTTCATTCCTTATCTCATCCATCCTTTATCCCACTACACCATCGATACCACAACTCCACCCCTGTCCCACATGGCCGCAACAGCACTCCTACGTGGAGCGCCAGGGATGTACGCAGTGCCTCCATAGCTCTTGATTAAACCGTAATCTTCATGCTAGGAACTATCGGGGGGGCAGGATCCCTCGTGGGTCGGAGCAACAGCGGGCAAGGCTTGATAGAATAAGTCGCCCGGGTAGGGAATAGATATCCCCATTGCGAAAGCTTTGCCGTTGAGCTTATTGGTTGTTCGGGCGGGGGTCCAAGTGATGCGATTGAGGTTGGTCGAAGATATCATTAGTCTGAGGTGGTCAGCGAGTGAGTAATGAGTAGGCTGAGATGAGCACTCACTACTAAGACATCAACGTGGAGTATCAATAAGATCGCAAAGTAGGTACCGTACTAGGTCATAAGTTTGGGCATCCTACACAAGTTCTACTCTTGATCGCTCGACACCACCGTGAGGAGGAGCCCAAATAGCATGTAGCCGACTAGCCAAAAGGCTGCCCAAATCCCACTGCGTCGTCATTGGCATTGTGTTCGGAGTTCTGAAAGCTCATAGGGGTACCCCAAGCAGTGGTAAGAGAGTGATCAAATTTATGTCGCAGGACTGTGCAGGACTGTAGAAGAGAAGATTTTCGTAGGAGTAGAAGAGAGAGATGATGGAGAACTGGTTGAAAGGATAGAAGCAAGCAGTAACGTGACTAGGTACCACGTCCCTTCTTCACCGCTCCTTCACTACTAAAACGTAATGTTGAATTCTAGTTCTGAGATACGAATTGAACACTCTTTTGAAATCGACACTGAAGAATCAGGTGTGCTTATGTCCGCTATAAATATTGATGGTGGGAGAAGTGGAGAAGAAAAACTTTCAGATATTGAATTCTAAGATAACCGAAGTAATACACTGATCGAGCACTGACATCTATCCTATACACCTTACTTCGCCTACTCTGAAATCAATAACCGCTGTCGCCTCCACCGCCGCTGTATCCACCGCTGTCTCCACCACTACCTCCTCCTCCTCCGCTCGAGTAACTGGTCGACGTATAGCCTCCGCTATCTCCACCTCCGCCTCCACTCGTATAGCTGCTGGAGTGGTGGCCCCCGCTACGGCCGCTAGAACCCCCGCTGTAGCTACTGTACCCACCACCATAAGAGGTAGAATGAGAGTTCGAATGCGAAGTTGAAGCTACTGCCGGCTGCGAATAACTAACTCCACCAGAGTATAAAGTCGAGCTCGGCGCCGGATCAACGGACGGCGGATGATGCTGATGATGACTGGGGGGGTCACATGGAGGTTCTAATGTCGAGATCAGGGCGAGTTGGTTCTGGATGAGAGTATCGTTTGTAGAAGCAAGATTTACGGTTGGGATGGGCCGATTCCAGGCTGGGGAAGAGGCTGTACGCTTGCCTTTGGATGCCGGGGTCGGACTGCTAGGTTTGGGACTGGCTTTGGAAATTCGTTCTTCTTCCTCTGAGTGTCGGTTCTGAGATTTTGACGGGGGGGATTCTGTGCGCTTGCCATTGGATGCCGGGGTCGGGTTGCTAGGTTTGGGGCTTTCTTTGGAATTAGGATCTTCCTTTGAGGGTAGGTTCTGAGACCTTGACGGGGAGGGTGGCTCTTCCCGAGGAGTGAGTGGTTTGGCGATAGGGTCCTTGACGGAGTTGTTGAAGGGTTTGGCCATAGGAATCGGCTCGGAGGCCGATGGAGTCGCCTGCTTGGAGGAGAAGCAGCCCATGGTGCTACCTGCGATTGAGTCTTCTTACAGCTGTTTGAATGGACTCGGCTCGAGGTATTGGATGCTTCGAACGCGTTTGTGGCCACTGGAATGGTTTGCGAGGAGTTGAATGATGAGTAGAAAAGAAGGTCAAAGTAACACACGATATATACTTCTCATCGTTAAACAAGGTAGCCTTGCCTTCAGTCTCTCCAACCGATTGGCGCCTATGCGGCTGTGTTGAGTGTGCCTTGTGATAGTTGGTATACATCGCGTTATTGATACAAGGGGGTCGGGCCAACCGCCCTCCATGCAACTTTTGGTGGCGTTATAGTAATCATCTACGAAAAGAGTATGGATACGACTATAATGCCACCAAAAGTTGCAGGGAGGGCGGTTGGCCCGCTCAGGCGACCCTCTTGTAGCCGGATGAGTCGGCAGTCGTAAGAGTCAACAATTGGCCCGGTGAAGAATGCGGGAGTGGAAAGCGGCTCCCTCGGACGCTAGAAGCGACGCCATCTCCTAGAAGGGTGTTTGTGGCTTGCGGCTGAAGATGGTGCCTGGATACGGGGTAGGGAGGTGGACGAGGCGGAGTTTTGAGGCTGTGCACGGCAAGGTATTTCCGGCGAGGCTTGCAAGAATATGTGCTACCCCTTTCCATCCTTGAATCTTGGAATCAGCCTGACGGGCAACACTTCTTCTCCCTGACCCACTCGTTGATAACGAATCCGTCCATACCGCGTCGTCCACGCCATTCCCGCACAAACCCAAACACGGCCAGATACAGTGCCAGAGCAGCCTCCTGGTCGCCACTGTCGGTACTTCGCTGTGTTTCGAAAACCCGGATGAGATGTGCATGCCTAGAGAGTGCAAATTCGAGCTGTCTTGCACGCTTCTGATTGACCTGCGTTACCGTTGTTTGGGGCGTTTTCAACATGTTATCAGAATCTAGCAAGAGAACTCAACACCCCGGGCAAAAGTGAATCCGCAGAACAATGTCCTAGTACTGTATCTTCTGCTACAATTTTGCTTCTTCTTCGCTCTTACCCCCAGTGATCCTCTCTATACCACATTCACCACATCCTCTTTCGCAAGTTTCAGAGCTTATATACCGAGGCACCCCATCTTTCTAGACTCTCTCCTTGAGTCTCCAGCTGCAACATCTCCTACCCCACAAACCAGACCACAAAGTTAGAAGACACGCAACCAAAAAAGAATCCGGTCACGTGATGCTTACATACTACACGGAACTCCTCTGTAGAGCCCACGGAGCTCCTACGTAGCACCCCCTCACATCTCCCGGCTACTGGGCAGACCCAACCTTTCATGTCCCTCTTCCACCTTTAGTTCTACTGAACGGTCAACCTCTTATCCCCCCTAAACTCCTCTTAACTCCGCCAGACCCACTCCCTCTACATATAAACCATCATACCCACCTCCCCTCCATACGTACTCACAGACTCTGAACCCACCCCACCATTTCCAAACCCTTCCCACCTTTTGAAAACCCCCAACCCATCACCAACCTCCCCAACAACCAACCAACCAACCAACCATGTCCCCCCGCCTCGAAGCCGCCCGCGCCTTCCTCGCCGCCTTCACCCCCCTCACCCCGGCCGCCTTCCGCCCGCTGCTCTCCCCCACCTACCACCACTCCTTCGCCCCGCCCTCCGTCGCCATCCACGCGCCCTTCACGCGCGACGCCTTCCTCGCCCACGTCGCCAGCATGGCCCGCGTCATGGCGTCCTTCCCCGTCACGGCCACCGAGATCTTCGAGGACCCGGCCAGGAACGCCGTGGTGGCGTTCGCGACGAGCGAGGTGGTGTGGCGGGGGGAGGTGCTGGAGGCGTTCCGCGCGGAGGGGCTGGAGGAGGAGGGGTGGCGGTATGAGGGGACGTATGTGTTTGCGTTGGAGTTTGATGCGCAGGGGTTGGTGGAGCGGGTGGTGGAGTTTGTGGATAGTGAGGGGACGGGGAGGGCGAGGGGCTTGATTGGGAGGGCGTTGGGGTTGGTGGGGGAAAATGAGGGATGAAGGAGAGGGTGGTGGGAGGGTGGGTTAGGAATTGACATGATTGGGGACCTTTGAGTTCGATATCCATGACGATGGCTCAGGTTCATCCGAAAGAGCAATAGCTTTCACGCGTTGGTTGCATGAGAGAAGCACCCAATTGTGGGGAAGGGATCAGGAAGAACAAAGTTGGTATTGTGAAATGTATATTACAAGATACATCGTCCTGCCCGAATGAAGTCATTGAATCGTTGAAGTGGCCGCCAGGACCGGATCTATCACCATGACTGATCGCCACCGATCCCATTTGGTTGCATTCCCGCAGAGAATCTCAGACCAAGAGGCTGAAAGCTCCAGAAGGGAAGCGTGATTTTGCATCACGTCGGAGCTCAAAGCTTCGACTGCTCGCTCTCCGGCTTGACCTCAACCAGGAGCTTACCAGTGTTGACGCCCTTGTAGAGTTGCACGAGTCCCTTGTCCGCCTCCTTCAATCCGCCCTTGAGAATCGTCTCTTTGCGCTTTATCTTGCCCTCAGCAAGCCACTGCGCGAGCTCTTTGCGAGCTTCGGGATACTCCGACTCGAAGTCGAAGACGATGAAGCCTTGCATGCGGATGCGCATGGAGATGATCATGAGGTAGTTCTATTCCCAATTAGTAGCGCCCTCACCAAAATTCAAAGAGATAGTACGAGTATTTCTTACCGCCGGCCCCTTCTTCTCAACCGCATTATACTGGCTAATCCCTCCACAAATCACAAACCTCGCATCCTTCTTCGCCCGGGTCAACGCCAAATCCAGGACATCTCCACCCACGTTATCAAAGAAGACATCAATGAAGTTCTTGGTCACATCTCGGAACTTCTTGGCGAATTCCGGGTCCTTGTAGTTGACCGCTTCGTCGAACCCGAGCTCTTCTTTCAGCCACGAGCATTTGGAGTCGGACCCGCACACGCCGATCACGTGGGCGCCGTAGATTTTGGCGATTTGGCCAACGACGGAGCCGGTAGCGCCGGCGGCGCCGGAGACGACGACGGTTTCGCCGGCTTTGGGGGCGCCGATGCGGAGGAGGCCGAAATAGGCGGTTAGGCCGGTCATTCCTGGGGGCTGTGAGTTTGGAAGCCGAAGCGCAGGGAAAACCTTGGGGGAGCGAAAGATAACGCGAGAGTGTCAGAATACTGCGACGATGTGAAGAGAGACCAATTCAAACATAGCTTCTAGGCTGAAAAGAAGAGCAAAACAGGGGGAAACGAGATGTCCAGTCCCCTAGGACGGTTTGTGATGATTGAAGTAAACTGAGAAGGAAAATGGAAATATCGTATTTCTTACCCAGCACACCCAGAGAATCAGTCAACTTCCCATTGCGCGGAATCTCGACCTTCTCTAGCGCTTTCTCATTGACCACTGCCACCTCAGTCCATCCTACAGTTCCCGTAGCAGTTGTGCCAACGGGGAACTTCTCAGACTTGGACGCAGTGACGACGCCGGCAGCAAGTCCGCGCATCACCTCGCCAATTTGAACAGGTGGGACGTAGGAGCGTACATCTAGAGTAAGATTAGTTTTATGGCCCTAATCAAGGATCATGTTGGGAACCACGTGATCGTGGTAGGACATCGAAGACGGTCAATTGGTGAGTTGGAGACTGTGAGGAGGTTTCTAGAAGGAGCAATTGGAGATGAGATTGAAGTAATGAGGTCTTACCATTCAACCATCCCCTCATCGCCGGATCTAGCGAAAGATACCTCGCCTCAAAGATGACCTCTCCCTCCTTCAGGTCGTTCTCTTTCGGCAGCGGCCGCTCCTCCACCTTGAACGTCTCTCCGGGAATGATGTCGGCCTTGGGACGCTCGGCCAGCGTGACTGCGGTGTATGTGTCTGCCATGTTTGATATTGCTATGGTCAAAGTTGAGGTCAGAGGAAACGTTGATGAAGCTGATGTCGTCGGTGAAGGTGAAGGTGGAATTCTCTCGCTATAAACTTCTGCTGCCCATGACAAATCAAGGCTTGCTGCGTACACAACGCGGAGCTCCGTCGCGGAGAAGTCGTCACTTCACATCGGTGCAGGCCAGGAATGGAGTTGAAACCGTTGCCACATTTAGCTTTTAGGGATTTGGGCCGAGGCTCCCGAGGTTGCGTCCTTATCGATACCACACCTCCGTCGGTCACTCCGTCCCTGGCATCCACCATCAATCATGAAACAACGCAAAACTCCATAGCTCTAGTGCGCGACAAAGTAAACCCCGCAAAGCAGACCCGCAAAGCAGAAGTCAGGGTATACAACCATTACTGATCACCTCATCGCCTCGTTGATTGTCTACAGCACCGACATTATGCCTCGTGATGGATGGTAGCTCCCTCCCGCTATCAGATCCACACACTGGTCTTTCGCGTCGTCGTACACGAATCCGTGGACCTTGAGACCTCTCTCCGCCTGCGCTTTGATGATGTCCGGCCGTGCGAGGAGGACTTGAGTCTGGGCCCAGACGTGTAGCTCGACGAGGCGGCGGTCGCGGTCGGCGGAGATGGGAAGGGCATCGAGCTCGGGCCTGTGAGCGTTGTAGAGGGCGTTGACGTCGCTATGCTGCTGTGAGTACGTAGTGTAGGTGGATGATGGGGAGAGGGGAGGGTAGATGGACCTTAACCACTCGCATAGCGGGCTCGAGTCGGCGTGCGTGTTGACCAATCTACATCCGTAGTGGCCACAGATGACAATGTGGTCAACCTAGAAGATGGATATCGGTCAGCACTCATCCACTTACAGCTGTTTGTCTAGTAGAACCGAAGCTATGGAGAGACTCTTTCGGTTCAAGGAGTATGATCGACGCACCTTCAGTATCCCTAGAGCATACTCCAACGTACTCAGCGTGCTCAAATCGTTATTCGACACCAGATCTCCCGGACTACGATGCACGATGATCTCCTCCGGCAGCAGATCCAGTGTCCGCGTCTCTGCCCACCCACTGTCCGAGCAGCCTATCCACAGGATCTGCGCTATTGGCTTCCTGAGCGACGGAATGAGGTGCGAGTCGACGACCTCAGTACGGAAGCCCTCCATCATGACGAACCTCAAACTAATCTGCAAACACCACGTCTGATTGAGTGAAGATGAAAAGAACCTGAAAATCAGAGCGGTTCAAAAGACTACCTGCTACGTAGAAAGACGAAAGAGAGCGAACACAAGGAAAGAGAACCACCGGGCGCCTGCCTCACTTTCATCCTCTGCACGAGACATAAGGCAGCGCAGAGTCCTACCCATCCCGAGGTCGGGCCTCTTCCAAGTGGCCTGATTCCCGCCGTAGTGCGCTGCCCAAACACCCACGATCGTCGAGGGTCCGCAGGCTGGGGTTAATAGTCGTCTCCAATATCTCAGTCATCCTTCCGCGGCTGCAACCACTCACGCGCGCCGCACCCCAGCACGAACGACTCAGACGCTCCCGTGCAAGCTATACGTCCTGCACCGCGTCCACAGCTCATAGTGCGACGGCGAGGCAGTGCTCTGCGCGATTTATCCCCTCCGACCTCGCATTGCTGGCTGCGGTGGCTATTGGATCAGGCGCGCCGGTGCTGAATGTCATTGTGGGCTGTTTTTAGGGTTTGCAAAACCGCAAGCTACGGCCAGACTGCCTGTAGTAACTTCCTGGGCCTAGCGCGTGAGAAACGTGGGACGCCGATCTGGCGTAGCGCCCGCGCTGGCTTGCAGGTGTTCGGGCCTGGGGACGCTGTCTCGGGGTGGAGTCGGTGGAGAGTCGGAATGCGGGGGTGGTTCGGGGGTGCTAGAGGGCCTAGACGTTTGGTGTATATATATCACATGTATGTATCTTCTGTGGCGTCTTAAAGCTCTCGTACTTCAGATATCTTCACCAGCAAATCCCTTATGATTTCTTGTGATTTGGACGAGAGGGAGATTACAGAATTCGCTCATTGTCTGTGCTAGCGCCCGAATCGGCCATTTTTAAGAGGGCTCGCAGGCATACCGTAGTGAGCGAGTTGTGCTGTCGGTACATGGAGCATCTATGGACCAAAAATGCATTAGCATGGTCACGTAGAGGACTGCATTGGGCAACAATGGGCCTTGTATCAGTCGAGGGTTCCATTACTTCCAATATTACTTCGTAAAAGTGGAGGACTTCATGTATACGCCCATACGCCAAGAACTTCATCGCTTTATTTTACAGCTTCTAGCACTATAAAGAGACAAAGGCTTTACTTACTGCCTAAGAAGGAAGCTCTTGGCGATATGTAGCCTCGAAGGCGTCGAAGCACCCAACGTGGGGGTCACGTACTACTGCACCAACCGAAACGGGTATAGTCGCTTTTTATATACGAAACAGACTTGAGACCACCCGGACGCAAGCTTCCCTCTTACAACAACTACCCACTTTCATAGATTCAATTCAGAGAGTGCAAGTCTTTACATCATGAGGTAGTTCATAATCATACCTCCAGGGGTATATCTAGAGTGCGCCCACCACCACAAAACCCACACACCCTACACTAGAATCATAACCTCAAGAAACACCATGTCAAGCAATCAAAATCGCACCATTTTCGCCACTGCACTATCCACTCGTGCAGCTCGCCGAATCCCCTCGGCCCCCTCACCCACCCTCTCAAACCCCCTCTCAAACCATACCGATCTGAACACCTAAACCCCATCCCCCCGCCCACACCCCCCAACTCACGCCTTCCCCTCCTTCCCCTTGACCTCCTCATGCACCCTCTCTTCCGCCCTCGCAACCTTCTTCCCCGCTGCCGTTTGCGTGTACTTTTCGCTCAACCTCGGCGCATACCCCTCCACAGGCTTGACCTTCGCCACCTCCGCCGCCCACGCCACATCGCCCTCCTGAACCGCGGTGGCCCACGCGTTGCGACTGGCGGTGTGCTGAACCTGCTGGGGTGGGCTCGGCGTGGCGGTCGGGCGGGCAGCAGCGCGCGGCGGGGGCCCTGAATCGCGGGCTGAGCGGGCGTGGCGCTGTTTCGGGGCCGATTTGGTGCTCTTCTGGCGGGCGGCTGGTTTGCGGGCTGGCTTCGTGTCGCGCGGGGGAGGGCGAGGATTGGTGCGATTTTGGAGAGATGCGGCGGGGGCGGAGGTGGAGCGGGATGACGCGAGGGTCGGTCGCTGACTGTGCAGAAGCTGGTGTCGGTGGGGTTGGTTTGCGGGGTCTGAGATGCGGTGGGATGCTCTTGGGTTCATTCTGGCCAGGAATAGGCTTGATCTGGGCAGGAGCCTGATTCAGACGCAGGATTGAAGTGAGGTCGAGGTCGGGCTGCGGATAGTCGACGCCGAAGAGGAGATTTTCGAGGATGAAGAGAGGGAGGAAGGTCTCCAGGCCGAAGTAATACAGGATCAGGAATAGTGGAGACCACGTCAGGATCTTGTAGGCAAGCTGTCTGATGAAGCTAAGAACGAGGATTTGGTTGATAGTGTCGAAGGTGTGGACGTGAGCGTCTGCATCGTTGATCTGGGGGAATCTGCCCGCTGGGGCAGGAAGGCGCAGGAAGCCAGCCAGAGAGGCCCAGTCTGAGCGAGAGACGTCGAATTCGAGGAGTCGCTTCGGAGGCACCAAGTCGCGGATGCGATTGTAGTGGGCCAAGTAGACTTCGCGGGTCTCCAAACCTCCCATGTCGCCATAGACGTGCTCCCGGATGAGCTCAGCTCCACGAAGGAACGGGCCAAAGAACTCGGTGTCGTTCTTGACTACGAAGTTATTGGCAAGCGAGTTTTGAGTGTTGAAGATGGTAGAGTTCATGGCCTCCAGCCATTCGTCTGCGTCCCAGTTGAGAAGGATGACGTTCGCGTCCGGGTATGCTTTGATCAGGTCTTCGGCAAAGTACGCACAGGGTGCGTCGATCACGGCCTATGTTTCGAATTAGCAAGAGTGAATAAAGTCTATATCATCTAAGATGATTGCTTACATCGTGTCGTCCCAGAAACTTGTCAAACTCAACCCGTCCGTACTTAGGGCCGACTCCCAGGAACTTGGCTTCCAAGGCTTCATTCCACAGAGGCAGATCGCGCTTGTAGTTGGCGATAGCAGTGTTCGTGTTGTAAGGATCGAACCCGAGCTTAGTCAATGCCGCGTGCATAGCTGTGAGAAGACTAAGTCAGCGAGAGAGCTGGGAGGATGGATCGAGCAAGCCTACAGTTCGTGCCAGTCATAGGCATTCCCAGTACCAGCACCTTCTTGATCTTGATATACTTATTCGCATCGGCATCAATAAGGCGGTCGCCCTTAACCAGAACTCCAGCAGCGGGCATCTCGGCGGTGAAAGGGAGTGAAGTGGTGGCTGTGAAAGTGAACGTGGCGTCGAAGAGAGGTGTCTAGTCCAGCGAGGCTTCTAGGTGATGCTGATGGAGCGAAGCAGGTCGAACGATGCTATATGAAGCGATGAAGTGAGCAGCTATGCTTGCTGTGAGGGAAGTTGTGAGAGTGGTGGGGTGTGTGAAGAGGATGTTGTGGAGGAAAGCAGAATGAAGAGAAAGCTCTTGCGGCGGCTGGGAATAACGACGGGCCGGCAAGCATCGGCCTGGCGACGCTGTATCAATGGGAACAATAGCGGTCACAAGCGGATACCTCGACTCACTTCCAATCACGCTGCCAGTGGATTGATGTTGAGCGGCCCCAAAACATGTTGAGGCACTTCAGACCGTGGTAGAGCGGTGTACGCAGGCAGGGAAATCTGGTGAGATTTGGACTGCGAAATTATGTAGGGACAAAAGAGGCAAAACGAGGAATAGAAATCAGACCAGACCATTATTGAATATCAAGAATCATTCCAAATCGTTCTCCCTTCGGACGTCAAGTAGATATACCAAAACAGCATTGACCAGTTAGGAGATTACTGGATGACACACAGACGAAAGCTTTGGCCTACAGAGACCGGCTAGAAGTCTTTGCACACCCGTCTGCTACTGGTACGGTGTGTCCCATGTGATTTCAAAACTCAAAATCCGATGTCAAGGTCGATACAGTAGAGATTGGGCTGACCAACTACGGGCTGGCCGGAGCACCCCTCACAGTGGTGTCAAGTGAACAAGACTGGAGCCGAGCAGTCACAAATCCGTGTGCCCAGATTTATGGCACAGTACTCTAGCTCAGCTATCCAAACATCTTACTAAAGGTCCCTTTAAATCCTCTCTTCCTCTTCCCCCAACTCCAATGCGCTTTCACGTCTGCGGCCATCTCCTCCCAATCAGCTACACCCGGTACAGTAGGGCCCATCTTGATAGCGAGAACCTCGGCAGCCAGCTTCGCATGTTTCGCAGCTTCTTCTAAATTGCCGACAGCGCTGTATGCCATTGCTGCGTGGCCATGAGGAACGTCTAGGAACCCTTCGAGACCCTGCTCTTGAAAGAGTTGGATCACGCGCTCTGCGTCCTCAGTCGTGGCCGTTGATTCCGGCGTCCAATCTTCAAGACCAGTTGTAAGCGTCTTGATCGTGGTCAAAATAGCGTCTGAAGCTTCATGATCCTGGCAACGCTTGCATTGGCAGGAGAAATGGTATCCCGCTTCGAGATTTCGGTGACGTAGTTCGTAGTGCGTCAGTGGATCTGAGTCTAGGGCGTGTCAGGATGCATTCCAATGAGATGAGAGAGACAGTTCTACAAGCAATGGTAATCTCTTCATCTTGTCCAATATCCCTTGTCGCATGCACGACGTGCGTTAAAGTTGCTCCGTCGAGGTAATATTGAGCACTATCGCAGATCAGCAACCAAAACCGTAGATAAAAATGATTCACATACTTTGGGGCGCAATCATGGTTCATGCGCGAAGGTTCTGGTATCAAAGCCAGATGCATATGCCCGCCAATTTCCATCTCGAATGTGTTTGACTTCAGCACGTCATGCATAACAACCATCGGATTGTTGTAGAACTTTGTGAGGCTTAAATATGAGTCCCTAGTAGCAGCGGGTAGCTGATTGACTGCAATCTTGAGGAATTTTTCACGTTGCAATGTCGATAATTGCGAATCCATGTGGACAAGAAGTGCAGGTGTGTAGGCGGATAAAAGTTCGCCACTCTTGACATTGTGCTTGGCTAACATGGCAATGCCTTTTCCTGGAAGAGCTTCAGTGTACCAGGCATTCGTGTGGTCGTTGACGCCTAATCCTCGGACCTCCCGAAACGGGGATAGAAATGCGAATTCTTCGGCTATCCGGGGCGTTGTGAAGATAGAGATACCTCTTCCTCTGTCAAAACTCGCGATTGTGTACACGCATAGCTCGCTTTCGAGCTCGTCGATATAAGAGGTGCAGACTGGCTCATGTGACCATGGCACTGCATCCTCTAAAAGGTCGTCATCTAGGTTCAATGCATCAACGATGGGCATCTGTCCGTCCTGGCCCAGTCCAGCGATGCCATCGCTTGATATGTTCTCAGAGCATGCTATGTCGGACGTTGTAATGGATGGATAGCTAAGAGAGCGTTGACTTGGGAGATCAAGGGGAGAGGTCGAAGAGGTGGCATTGACTGAAAGGAAAAAGCCGAACGCCTTGATGAAGACTGATAATATCATGATGGGTGTTTTGTCTGGACGGGAGGTTGAGGGCATCCATTCTTAAAAGAGTGTTTGGGGCAGCCCCTGACGTTGGGAATCGGGTTTCAAATGATGTTTGAAAGAGGTTCCGAAGCGCTGAGGTTGGAGAAGGCGCTAAGACGGACCTGGCTAGCGCTGGTGACACTCTCGTTCCCCAGCTAACTCTCAACCTCTGTCGTGAAGAGCCTTTAACAAGTTTGGCATTCCCCAGAGACTTCCGCTTCGTACCTCAACGAGCCATGCAGTCGCCAAGGGCTACAGTGCTATGACACAAGTCTGCCCTCTTCTTGAAGGCTCTCTCTGAGCACCATAGTCTATCAATTGCCTAGCCTTTCCCTAGCCTCTTGCTCTGTTGCCTGGCACTTTCTTCAACCATATTCTTACAGCTCTTGCGACTCTGCCTCCTGCACCGTACGTGGGGGCGCCTCGCTTTTTATAGACTCTCCTAGCCGAAGGTCTGCGGCATGAAGCGGCTGCTAGACAGTGCTTCTCACTCGGGGACAGATACCAAGCGTACCCGTCTTGATGCAACTGCAAGGTTGGACGATCTCCGTCCGGCGGAAGAGGAGCCCAAATCATTACCCCTCCCCATGCAAAGGCACCCCTTAACGTCTGCAGCCTGGAGACATTCGAGAGCCTTTCTTCACGCTCAGTATCACGGGAGGATCCAAGTGACGCAGTGCTGAACTGGGAGCGTAGTACCCGCAACGATAGCCCCTATTCATGGACGATACCTCCGTCCGTCAAACGTCGAACGTCCTCCAATGGAGATGCTAGCCAGAGCTCGGCCTTGACCGAGAAGAGTTCCAAGCAAAAACGCACTGCGCCGCCACCATCGATTGCAAGTTCTTTATACCAAGACTATTCACTGCCGGTTTCAGGAATCAGTATTACTCGCGATGCGCGCCTCGCTCCCATCGTAGTGGCGACAATGGTCCGAAAAATATTCAAAGTGGATAAAATGAATCAGATTGGAACCGGGAAACTCGCACTACTCAGCCACTAACACAATGCTGCCCGTCGTATCAATGGATGGGGTGACGCGTATTGCAACGGCGTTGTACGGTGCCTAGTAGGCGTGGGCGAGACTATTTGGGTGAGTGAGATGTTACAACAAATACTGGACATAACAAAACACTTTTAGACTAGCATGCTTTAGACCAATGTATGCAATGAGGCTAGTAAGGAGCAGCCTTTATCGGCATGCTGGTATGTACGGTCTTGCTAATTTCGTCACTGTATCGCGAACAGCTTGGCCGACGAAAATCCTCCCTCTACCTCTTACACAAGTCAACGGCCTTGGTCCTGGTCCACGGGAACCCTATGCCATGGACGACAAGCCTAACGTGTCCTTCTTTGAAAACCTCCCTGATGAGGACAATTGCCCAATGGGTCCTCCACGTTCCGTTAGTAAGCACATGTCGCAGACGGCTGCGGCCAGAGGAAGAGCATCACTAGCTGGTATCATTGGATCCAGGCGGGAATCCATGCGGAGCCCTGCAATTGATTCACTCCCTTCTCCCGTGCAGACAGGACCGTCGATGCACGCGTCGGAGTCGGAACTAGAGTCCGCGTCAGACCCAGAGCTAGAGCTAGCGTCGGGAGGAGCAGCCCTCAACAGTGGCTTACCGGCGACCACCGGCCTCCCAATAATCACCAGACCAAGGCCTAATATCGTAGTAGGATTAACTCGAGGCGACGAGTTTTGTCCTGCGGTTCTCAATTTCATAAACACCCTATCCGTGGACTACGAAGTCACCGTTGACCCCCAGAAAAGCATAGGGCCACTACTCAGGGTTTCCGGCCTACGTGCCTAGCCAATTACAACTTCTACAGAGAGGGGTTGGGGTACGGTGGCCTACCCTGCCTACCGCTGCCTACTGCTGCCTCTAATTAGTACTTATGCCTACGCTCCCTATGTAGTATATAGTCTGCTCGTACGGCTTCACAAATCAAACAGAGTTCACGTCAATTTGCAACCTAAGTCCACTCCTACAATGCTCTTTCCATTTCTCATTATCAAGGCAAAGGGATGCAGCCCCAACGCTAGCATGGCCGTTGCAAAAGTCCAAGCTGCTGGCGGTGGGGCATGCGCACTAACATGTTATGTCGGCTCAAAGCTCAGGCAGACCTTGCCCGACAGCGTAATGTTCAAGCTACCGTTGCTAGCAGCAAGGGGCAACAGGCTGGCGAGGACTCGAACAAAGCACACCCAGAGGGTTCCTTCGACGCACCCCCAGAGGAACCGGAGGAAGCGCCCCCATTTCTTGTGTTCTCGGTAACTACCCAGGGTCCTCTTCACCAACTATGGGTTCACTATCAACCAGCACCTCATGTCTATCACATGACACCGTTGAAGGTCTGGAACGCGGAAGATCAAGATGATGCAAAGGGCTTCATGCGTGCTGTGTTTCAGATACTCCAATGGGGGAGTATAGTGCACTGGAATGAAGTGCACCGGCACATGTCACAGATAGCGATGGCGCACGATCATGGTGTGATGTCTCCATCAGACAGACTTGCTCGATGGTAGGGATAGATCAATGTGGAGAGGTAATGGATCATGCTATAGCATTCGACTTGCGAATCTATTGTCCTATTTAATTCATTGCTATGATGCTTGCTTGGTCCCTTACGTCTATGTGAATAATCTACATGTCGAAATCTAGGTAAGTTTGTCATGAAACCACATGCTCTGCCATCAGTACAGTCTACTTTTAGAATGTTCAAATTACCTTTAGGAAGAGAAGCCTAAGACCATAGAATCTCTGTTCCACGTGATTTTTAGGATGCAAAAATAACAGGTGCGTCATCTTCCATCAACGTGTTTCAGATCGCTCATTGTTTAATCAGGACCTAGGCCGAAGCCGCTCTCATGAGAAGTATACCATTCTTGGAACCGGCTGGAAAGCTATGATAAGTGTCTCCTGTATTCCAAACCTACTTCTGGAGTACCCGTCGCACACAAGTCAGTTCAAATCCCGAGGGATGATACAATCCCATTTTCTACTCCAACATCATGCCCCTCTCCCCTTTCTCAGAAAAGCAGCAACACGCCCCATCAACCATGCAATCAACCTACTTGCTCTCCAAGACTCCACCGTTCTTCTTCTTCGCAAAACAGCACCCACACGCCATCAACTCCCATTCCCTCAGCACCCCCTTCACCTCCTCCACCAACTGCTCCACAGAATTCCTCTCCCCCTCATCATACCTCGGCATGGCCTCCACAAACCTCGACACCAACTCCACCTCCACCTCCCTACCCCCACCCGCCTTCCTCTCCTCAAGCGCCCTAACCAACCTCGCCAACACAACCAACGTCCCCTTTCGCACATGATATCCGCCCTCTCCTATATCAGCCTCCCACCCCACCAACGCCGACCCAATATCCACCCTCAGCCACCACAAGCACGGCATCGCCAGCACATACGCCGCGCGCTCCTCCCACCCCCTCACATCGCTTCGCCGGAACCGCTTACAATCCCGCGGCTTATCGAGATCGAAAATCGCAGGTACGCCGGCCGCATAGTGCCTCACCGGCAACTCGTCCACATAGCGCCGCACGAACGGGGTCCAGGAACTCGTACGTCAGCTCCAGCCGCCGGACCAGCGGCCAGCTGCGCGGCGCGAACACGCTACGCTGTACGGGTGGCGCTCGCATGCGATGCAGTTGTTCACGAAGGTCGCCTTCCTATACAACACCGCCTCCGCCTCGGCGCGCATCTGCTGGTCCACCAGGAAGAGCGCGCGCGCGACGCCCGTCGGCGATTCGCTGAAGAACGCGGCGTCGACCGTGTAGGGCGCGCATGGGTTAGAGCTGCGGTGCGGGAAGCGCGCCGTGTCGTACTCCCGGTTCGTCTTGGAGCCGCGCTCCTCGCGGATCTCCTTGCGGAGGGCCTTGGCGTGCTTGCGGGCGCGGGCGGAGCGGGCGTGCAGCGGGGAGGGGTAGTGCGGGAGGCGGGCGGCGGGGTTGGGCGTGATGAGGTCGTCGTAGACCATGTCGCGCAGCTCGCGGGGGAGGGAGAGGAAGTCTTTGAAGCCGGGGGCTGGAGGTTCTGGGGGTTCTGGGACTTCTTCTGGTGGTTCTTCAAGCGGAGGGGCTTTTGGAGGCTTGGGGCGGGAGACGGGTTGCCTGGGAGTTTGTGTTAGCAGGTGTGTATGAACGTTTTGGGCTGTTGCTGCCACTGTCTGGGGTGCCCCAAGGAGCTTTCAAAACTTGAAATACGATGGCAAGGTCGGTGCAGTGGAGATTAGGCTGCCTTTTGACTGACCGACTACCTGCTATGCGGCGCACCCCCGACAGTGGTGTCGAGCGAGCAAGATTGAAGCTCGAGTAGTGAGATATCGGTGCTGGTGCTGTACTTACCAATCAGGAGGGTTGAATTCGGTAGCCCGTCGCTCAGCCTTACGAGCCTTGGCAAGACGCTCTTTGCGGCCCATAGTGTGGAATGTAGTTGTTAGAAAGAGTCTTTGCAACTAAAGAGGTGGTAGGGGCTTGGAGGTAGAAAGTAGTGTGGATGGACGAAGAGTTGACTGAAGAGATATTTGTAGGTATCGAAGGCTTTTGGTATGGGGTATAAATGTCGTCAAAAGTGGTTGAGTGTTGTGGAGTTTATATGAACGTTCAACTCTAGAGATATTTATATAGGCCGAGGCTTTAATAGAAAGAGTCACGGTTTCGGACCTGAGTGAATTGATTGAGAACTAGTGAAGCCACGTCAGTATTCAGTTACAGCGGAGGAGGTTCCGAATCAAGCGTTCGTACTCAATTCACTAACTTGTACCATGTGTGAGGGTAATAAATACCTTACCCGTTGACTCGATCCTCGAATTGAGGTCTCTATCAACAACCACGTACCCCCACAGCCACCCTCATTTCACTCACTTTGGCCCACAACGCCACCCTCCGGGTCAATCCTCATCCACCGCAGCCATGCCAAACTTCACGGATTTTCCCCGAGAACTTCGCGACGAGGTATACTTTCACGCCATGGTTCCAAATCTAGACGAACTAGTACCACTTGCTCAAGTCCCCACCGCACTAGGTCCTCGGCTTCTCGCAAAACACCGCGCGGGGGTGAACACGTCCCTCTTCCGCCTCAACAAAGCCGTTAAGTCAGAGGTAGACGAAGTCTTCTTCAAGCACAACATCTTCTCCATCCTCCCATTCTGGGCCCACCACTACAGCCGGCCCGGATACACGATGAACGTCCCCGATGTCGTCGTGCGGAAAGCTCGAAAGATGCTGTTGAGGACGACACCCATCCCGGGGGATTCCCAGCCATCCCTTCCCGCACCGAAGACCGGCGTGTAGATATTCGCTATCTGCGGTTGTTCTGGCGAGACGTCCTTCCACAACTACTGAACCTTCGCGAGCTGCACCTGGCGCCTATATCCCTCCGGACTAGGGAAGAGGCTATGTGCCTGCTGCGGTCCAACAAGGGCAACGACCCTCGTCTTTTGGATTGCCTGTTCTGCGAGCACTTCCTTCGCGCGAAGGGATTGGGTTCGGGGGCTCTGGCCGAGACGATGAGGGAGCTCCAGCGGCGTCCGGATAAAGGGTTCCCTGCTGTTCGTGTCCACATGTGCTCCTTGAAGCCGTCAACGGTGAAGGAGATCGAGGAGAAGTTCCCGATGATTGAGTGGCTGCATGTCAAGGGATGCACCTGCTGTGCTGGGTACTACACGACTATGAAGAAAGATCATGATTACGATGGGTATTCAGACGAGGAGAAGCTTGAGGCGGACCGGTGGCTCAAGACGGCAGAGAAGGTAGTACATTGATGGAGCAACTACAAGCTGATGTGGCGGTATAGCACCTGCATAGAAGTCATGCACGCCTGTTCACCGCTGTGTGAGGTGCCTCGGTGCCTTATCGCAAACCCGGATGAGATGTAAATGTCCAGTAAGTGCTAATCTGAGCGCTTCCAAACGCTTCAAATAGACCCACGTTGCTATTGTCTGGGGTGCTTCAACATGCTACTAGGTTTTAGCAAGAGGGCTCAGGGCCTAGGGCCTAGGGCGAAAGTAAATGCATAAACTTACGTTCTCGTACCGCAATGGCTACGAGCCTTAACAATTAGACTCGGGCCTGTTGCGAGTAGATATTAGCATGACTCGTTCATCTACTTACCACTTTCTAATGTACTCCAGCGCATCAAGAGGAGTTTGGAAGAGAAGTAAAATCCTAGGTAGCGCATTTGGAGCGGACCTAAACGCTTTTGATTGGCCTATCTTGACGTTGCCTGGGGTAGATCCGCACGAGGAAGCAGGAAGGACCCTAAGAACTCGCTATACTCTTGTGAAAGCGACTAATGTGAATACCTGCCACACAACTCGGAATGGTATAACTGTAGCGTGCTCGATGCAAGTCCCTTCCCCGACACTCTCGTCTACCACTTTCCCCGTCTCACGATAGTCGTATCGACCACTTCCCATTCGCTACTGAGGGTGCCCTGCATATCCTCCGGTTTGCCCATCATTGTTGTCGTCTGGATCTCAACGAGTAGTTGTCGGAAGCCCTGCTCCACTCTCTTCGGCATGGCCTCCTCGACCAACCGAACCCCTGCTTGTACGCGTTGTGTTTCAAATACCTTGTTAACCCAGCCTCTCATAACCACGCGCAAAGTCCGTAGTTGCGGAATGAGGACCGCAAAATCAATGTTCTTTCGCCAGTTCCGGTACAAAGAGATCATGTTAGAGTCTTCGACTCCGAACAGCTCCTGCACAGCAGGCTCGTTATAGTGAACTTCTCTAGCTCCGGAGTTTGGTGTGGAGGACATATCAGTACTATTACAGGAGATGGTAATATGGCAGACCTTGGTGGATAATGGAGACTTGAGGTTCTTACGGAGGGTGATGTAATCCATACGGCATGGGGCATACTCGTGAGTGGAGCCTTTCGTGCGGTAGCATAGCCTGGGAGGCTGGTAGAAGAGGAACATGCTCTCCCCGTAGAATATCTCCTCTGCTTCTTCCTTGATCGTCTTACTCAGGTGGAAGATGCTGTTCGAAAGTAGCTTGGCGCTTGCCGGGACGTACTTCTGGCGACGGGGGCTCCAAATGCGAGCACGGACATTGGGAGAGGCATTGAGCGCGAAGCCGTAGACTATATCCCGCAGCTCACGGGGAAGGTCCATGAATGAAATGCGGGAGGTAGGCTGAGTAGAAGTCCCTTCGACCTCGTCGACAGACTTGCTATTGACATAGCTATAGAGGCCAATTTTAGCCTCTGACATTGAACCTCGTTATACAGGCTAAAGTGGCCATTGATGTGGAGTTGTACCTGGTGTTCACTGACACCGCCTCCTTGGTCCCATGCTGCTCTTCGTCGCAGCCTGCGGTCTTATACGTTTGCTGAGGTCCGCCTTCGGCCCCATTCTCCCCCGACGGTCCTCTGCCCGCCATTTTCCTGTTCCGCGATTCTCGCACCATGATGGAGTTAGGACGAAGCTGATGGGGTCTAGTGACGATCAAAGATTATTCCGTGGCGAGTAAAAGGATGTGTAGAGAGAGAGAGGTAGAGGTAGAGAGAGATAGGTAAAGGTAGAGGTAGAAGAAAGAGGCCCGTGCGTTAAGCGAGGCCGTTGAGGCTCTCTTCACATTCAGTTCACCTTAACTACTTTGATTCGTTATTACGACGTTTTCAGCATCATCTAAAACTTATCACGGCACAGCAAACATAGAAGCCGGCTATTGGAGTGAAAATTAGCAGTACGTCCGTGGCGGCGACCGTGATATTATAACAACAGAGAGTCCCCCGGGGGCGGAGGAAAGTAGGGAGGGGCAGGGCTGAGGATATTGCTGGAGGTCCTAAATCAGGTTGATGCTGTTATGGTTTTGCAGACTATGATAACGAGTTAAGGTACTTCAGACGGCGGCAGCTCGTAGTCCACATAATTCCTCCAGGGAGTTGATTTTGGGTGGCTGTCAAAGGACATTAGATTGAGGCAGATTTTATTTATATGACCTCCCTGTGAGCCTATTTTCCTACCTACTGACCTACCTGGTATCTTGCTTATCAAACAGACCTCATGCTCCTATCCATCCCTATATGCTATTCACGCTCACTGGCAATGCCCCGACAGCACAAACATCCAACCCAACTTTTTGGCATGCTTTCACTATGTTTAACCTTGCATGTAGGTCATGAGCGACTGCTTCATATCAGGCGACAGCCTCTCCTGCACTAATTGGCCGATGCGGCCGCCATGCCTCGCGTCTGCCGTCTTTAGATACTGGCCCACCCAGTTCCGGACACCAGTAATCTCCGGGAATGGGTCTCGGGGAACCTTCTTGCAGGTGTTGAGTTGGGTAAAGCCGACGCCAAAGCTGAGATCGTCGACGTCTTGGTCGGGGACGATGTCGTCAGCGGTGGGAGGGACTGGCGGGTTGACCAGGAGTTCGAGGAGTCTCTGACAGGTGAGGCCCCATCCTTTAGGATAGCTGCGGTTGGTCAATGATTTTGGTCGGAAGAGTAGAGGGGAGAAAGCAAGGCCTACCGGTCAATGAAAGCTTGGGAGTCGGTCAGGGTCATGGTGAAGGAAACGACAGCGGTCTTGCGATCAAATGGTCGCGTCAACTTCTGGGTATCTGGGAGAATGACGGTCAGATAGACCGGCTTGAACACGCTGCGAGTGTGTTAGTCACGTGTACACAATAATCAGATGGCAGACTTACTCATGCTGAACCTGATCTGTGATGCCGACAAAGAAGTCTGTCCCAAGACCCTTATCCTGTCTTGCAGATATGAAGTGGTAGAATGCGATGAAGCGCTGTGAGAAGTTTTCTGTCTTGGAGGTAGAAAGTCGCGTCAGCATTAGCTGGAGGATGGTGACGAAGTAATTCGAAAGGGCCTGGAGCGGCAAAGAGCTTATGACCGTTTCGATCAATTCGAATGAGTGGGATTCGTGGAGTTTGGTCGAAACCAGCTTCTGATAGATGCCCAGAATTGGTTCGACCTGGTTGTTTCGAACAATGTCTTCGGCACCACGGGGTATCATGGCAGTCAACAGACGAACGAGGGCGGGGACATTACCCTTTGACTCCCAAAGACTAGGCATGAGGATAGGGGCAATGAGACCTTTGTAGTAATCCGAGAGGGTGCCGGACGGGTTTGCCTCGAGAAGTGCAGCAAACAGTTGGAAAACATACGGAGCGAACTCCTGGACGTCTTCTGCAAGAATGGCCGCGAAGGGATCGTAAAGGGCCTTTTCAAGCTTGTCTTGCTGAGTTGAAGCCGCGTACCGGATTAGTGCGCCTATGCCTTCGAAATGATAATAGTAGAAGCGCGGGTTGCTCGGGTTGTGCCGTATGACCTTGGTGATGTTGATAAAGTTGGTGAGCACGAGGTCAACGTGAGGAAGGACTCCCTCTCGAATGAAGATCAGCACTCTCATGACGCACTTCATTAGGAACTCGTTCTCTTGAATCTTTTCAGGCGCTGAATCCTTCTGAATCAAAGTGAAAAGGTGCGAAAGTAGGTTCTTGGAGAGCGAGACCACATCGGGCTTGGGTATGATGGGCTGTCGAGTGTCATCCGTCATGAACAAAGCCCGTTCGACAGCAATTGCAGCGTACGTATAGACCACGTAGTTGCTTGAACCGAGGTGGTTGACCAGTAAAGGAAACGCGACGTGCCAGTACTGTGGTGTGAGCTGACTCCGGAATACGTAGACATACTTGATGGCGTCTACTTTCAGGATAGGCTCAATGCCGTTTGAAGTCAGGTCTTCAGCAATGTACTTCTGGAAGAAGTCGAGAATATCGACATTCGGGTTCACGTTTGTAACTCCCTGAGCAGCTGTGGCGGTGCCCTTTGCGGCAATGGCAGAGAAGAGATAGACGGCGGTGTCTTTGGATTTCCAGTTGTTGTTCCGGTCTTTCGCGTACTCTTGAAGGTAGTGTTCCACGTACTTGGTGACCTCTACAGTCACTAGCTTGTCGAACTGGGACATGAGTTGACGAAGGAAGTCCGTAGCAGCTCGCCGCCGCGTATCGCTGTCCGAACCCTCCAGATCTCGGCGAATGAACTCAATAGGCTCATCTTCGAAAAGCTCGACATCAGACTCCCGGAGCGAAAGATTTGGCAAGATGACCTTTTCTATCACTTGACGGAGCGTTTCCGGGTCGCTGAAGGATTGTGCGTACTGGGGTATCGAGGCGACCGCGGTGAGGAATTGCAACGCTTTGCTGACTAGGATGTCGTACTTTGTCTCAAGCCCGACAGCCATGAGGAAAGTCCAGGACGTTTTAACAAAATTTTCTAGCTGGGGTCCGAATGCGTCCTCATATTTCTGCGTGTATAAAATCAAGACCTCGAAGATTCCAGCCTTGACGTATTCCAGAACTCCGGATTCGCTCTCGTCGGAAGTGTGCAAAGCCGGGTTGTCGTAGGTGAGGTATTTGAGGAGAAGTAACGAGATATCACCAATGTTCTCTTCGAAGACCGGCGGCAGGTCTTGGCATGAAAGATCATAGAACAGTTTCATGATCAGATTGAGCGTGGAGAAAGCCTCTTGTAATGCCGCAGGGTTGTTTTGCGAACTCGAGATAAGGCTGTCTGTATTCTGCGCAGTTGTAAGCATGTTTCCTGTATGTAGCCTTGCCACTTATATACTTACGATCATCAAGGTGATGAAAGGTGTGCTGAACTTGGATAGAACATGGTTGATCTCGGTGAACAGCTCGTCGGATCGGAACAGCGGGCGCCACCGCTTGAAAATGGAGTGCGCAACCTGCAAGACGCCGTTGTTGACCGCGGTATTGTCCTTGGTGAGCCGTGATATCAGGTCCTAAAGAGGTCAGAACAAATTCCCTGCCATCCTATGAAATACCACGTACATCGACCAGTGTGTCCCACCGTCGCCAAAAGTCGCTCTCTGCAATTGCGCTGATAGCCTCTCCAAGCTGGGCTTGCATACTTGGGGGCACCGAAGTCATCAGCCCGATGAGCTCTTGCTTGATCGCTACTACCTCGTTCTCTGACAGCTTGTAGTTGCCCTCCTCGTCCTATGATGAGTGAGTTTGTGCTTTTATGGCGTCTTTCGGGGGCTGGAGATGTACCGTCCATGTCCGCTTTATGAAGTTCTTGAAGTAGAGCGCGCTAGATAGTCTCACGGTGGGAGGGAACGATTCGGTCGCAACGATTTGGAGGAGGGCGAGCGAGAATCCGGGCTTTGCTGCTTCTGCTGATATGGCGGCCTCCGCTGTCGACATGCTGTCAGCAAGGCTGCGCAAACGGAAGGGACGTGGGAGTGCGCAGTAGCTGTATCTGTGGCAGCAATCCTATTTTGAAGAGCTATGCTATGCGCTCGCCATGAGGACATGCCAGACCCAGCATAGATGTTGCGCAGAAGATGAAAACAATAAACAGAGCCTCGTACCTTGCTTGTTCTGGCGGGGGTCCAGACTCATCTGCAGCAGCCCCGCGATGGCGGGTAAGCCGGTCGCCATGATGGTGGAATACAGTGGTGAAGAGGCGCGAGGGAGGAGGACAAGAGGTGGAGAGCTCGCGCAGCTGGGCGCTGTTCCAAGCGTACCAAAATATCAGAACGTCCCGCCCGCGCCAAGCAGCAGCAACCCGCGCCAAGCAGCAGCAACCCGCGCCAAGCAGCAGCAACCCGCGCACGGGCCGCGGCCGGCTTCAGACGACCCCAGCTTTCTCGTGCCGTCGCATCGAGTCTGGACGACGTGGGAGGCAACACGTTCCTTTTGCTTCACCTCCGCCCCCGCCGCTGCCCACGAAGAGATTTCCGCTGCCTAGCTATTCACTGCCACACCCGGATCGCCACCTGCCGCTGGATACATGGGCTTCCTCTACTCCCCGGTTCCACTGCTCAAGGGCCTCCATCAGTTGCGACGACATAGGGCTGAAGCTTGAGCCGTCTTGCCAGGTGCAATCACGCGCCCGTACCGGGTGTGTACTGTTGCTTCCTCCGTTCGTGTGGCGATTTGCAGTGCTCGGAGTGGCATCCGGGCCCTGCTCAGTCTCTACTGCCGATATCTTTGTCTGTCACTGACGCCAACCCTTCGCAGCGGGACGTAGCAGCAAACCGCATGCGCCGCGCCGAGACATATGTCTCCGTCCTCCAGCAATGTTCCACAGACACCTGACAGATCCGCCTCTACCAGCGCCCTGCTTGGCGCCTTCAGAACCCTCACCGGCGGCCGCATCAAGAACCCATCCACCCCCTCCACGTCCGCGACTCTCACGCCCGCACAGACCCCTTCGTTAAGGTCTGTGGATCGGACGGCATCAGCGGCCAGTGCTTCCCTTGGCCGCGGGAAGCTGGGGGTGGATGACGGACTGTCGCATTGCTCGGAGAGTCGCCATGAGCTGGACAAGGAGAAGGATGCTGCTGGAAAAGTCCTGGGCGGACCCGTCGAGCTGGCCTCGTTACTGGACCAGCTGGATGCTGCCAATCCAACCTACGACAGGATACTCGCCATCAAAAAGATCTGTCCGATATTGAAGGAATACCCCGTGGACAATGTTTCTGCTCTCTGGTCTGCGGCAAGCGATCTTCTCGATCAAGAGGATCCTCCAGAGGCGTCCAAGGCTGCCTACAGTCTTTTGATGAGCTGCGTTGAGTTGCCAGACCTCAGTCCTATGGAACGACACATATTCTTCAAGGCCATCTCAAGCGGGAGTTCCCCCAAGAACTGCGACATCCGCCTACAGGCAATGCACGAACTGACCATCGGTGGACGAAACGTCGAGGCATTTGAGCCGTTCGTCGCACCTTTTGTAACCAAAACTCTTGATGCGTGCTTCAAGCTTGCTCGCGAAGCTCGTAGAACGAGGAAACAAAAACGGGCAGGCCCGACACTAAAAGAAGACGAGACCCTATCTCGAATGTTCCAATATATCGTGGACGTCACAAAGTTCAACTCAAAAGTCTTCAAAGAAGAGGACGTCGACCTCCTTCTGACCCAAACCATGGCAATCTGCAAGGAAACTACACAGGAAAGCGACATTGACCAAGCCATTCGAATATTTGACACGTTAATCACCTACACTCACATCCCAATCCAGTCCTTGAAGCCCTGCTTAGAGGTGCTTTGTGATGTCCATCGACAACTGACCAATCTCCAAGATCCAACGTGGAGCTCTTTGAGCAATTTATTCAAGTCGCACGTCGGACAAGCTTCGGTATCAGCGTTGTTGGGAATTCTTCGTGATGCTCCTAATCCTATGGGTCGCAAAAGAAACATTCCTCGCGGCGTGGTGCATGTACTCCAGAAGCTCCTACTCTTCAATGGAGCGGATAGCCTCCCTAAGGTACCCGTCTCACTGCTTCTCTCCTCTTTAAAAGTGTCTCTCACCGTCGACTATCAAAAGCATGACGCAGACGTAGTCGGGCTGATTGCCACCATCGTCACTGATCGTACTCTCACCCAGCTTCTACTCAGGGAGACCGACTGGAGCGATCTGGTCTCTATAGTGGACACATGCGCGCATCGAGAAGAGATGGAGCCCGGGCCTGCGTCAAGTTCGACAATCGGAGCGGTATCAAACGTGGACTCGTCTCTTGAAACCGGAGTACAATCAACTGAAGACTCTAGGACATACGACGATCTATCGAAGATTCTGACCAGCCTAGACAGTTTATGCGAGGAGACTGACTTCGTGCAGAAGGCATCAATAATGGAGCTGTTCATGCGCCTAGCGCATCGCATTAGCAACCCTGCCGCCGAAGGTCTCGTCAAGTATTACGCAGAAGAGAGGCTTCTTCATCCTTCGAACGATACCTGGCTTGAGGCTTGTCGGACCCTGCTAGCAAAAGCCTTCAAAGACCAAAAGCGGCCTCGAGCTCTTCGCCTCCTCATAGTCCAAACACTGCGAGACACCTACAACACCGTGGAAGGTATTTGTACGGGAGTGGAGATCTCTCAATGCGCTGAAATGATCTTGGAAAATATCGCCGATGAGAAAGACGTTGCCGTACTCCATGAGCTAGTGGATTTTGCGGTCAACGTGGCCGACCGAGCATCCCACGAGGTCTTCGAAGATGTGGTGGGGCTTCTGAAGGCACCACTAGAACAACAGGCAGCACAATCGCCAAATACACATTCCAGCGTTGCTGCATATTGGGCTTCTCCCGCAATTCGTCGAGACGTGGAAACCTTTGGAACTCCACACAACGTGTTGGCGTCTGCTTTGGTGCGGTTGTTCACCCGAACGCTAAATCAGTCAGCTACGAAATGTCGAGTCCTGTATGACACTTTGCTGCTTGTCGCAGGATCTGAGTCTTGCGAGACCGATGCACGAATCACTGCGCTTAAACTTCTCTTCCGCCTACGCAGTGACTCTAATTACGCTATGATCGTAAACCCTTCATCAGAAGGCGAGAGCATTGCCGCCGTACTCTGTCGTACTGCGGAAACGGCAGTGCACCAGGAGAGGATAGATGATCACGTGCCGGTCGATACTTCAAAACCGGAAGAACATATATCTTGGCGAGACAAGAAAGACTTGAACAGCAGTCCCCACTCTTCGCTCACAAGAAACTCGACTCGTCCTGCAAATCTCACAGGTCGAATCTCGCGTCCAGTCCCACCACTGTGGATGTATCCGGGGCCAAGAGGTCTTCCTGAGGAACCGTCGCGAAAGGCTAGTCGGTATACGTTTTCGTATGTCGAACCTGCAGATGACCAAGAGACAAATCCTCGCTCCGAGCTCAAGATCGCACTGTGGCTTGAACTGCTTATATCACTGCTACAAAAAGCACCCGACTGGGAACTGTACAGCTATATCCTGGTTCATCTGGGGCCTCAGCTTTCAAATCAGTCCCTCTTCCGAAACGCAGTCCCGCAGCTGAAGATGCTGAGAAGCGTGCTTTGCGAACAGATCCGGGCGACTACATTCCACGAGCCACCAAACTACACACTGCTTAAGAAGGCTGATGTTGCTGTGTGCCTCTTTCATGTACTCACGATCCTCATCAGTTACCATTCTCATTACGAAAAGAGCGAGGAAGATGAGCTAGTGAGAACATTTCTGCATGGCATTGGATCGTGGGAAAGGACTTCAAAGTGGTGCATCCATGCATTAACTGTCTGCTGTCATGAGCTACCACTTTCTGTCACCAAGTCACTTGACACTATTGTCGTAAAGATGTCTCAAATTATCACTCAAGCTCAGGTTGCAATCCATATTCTCGAGTTCCTCACGTCCTTGGCTCGAATGCCTGAGCTCCACAAACATTTCAGAGAAGACGACTATAGGACAATTTTTGGTGTTAGCTTTCGCTATTTGCAATACGTCAGGCACAAAAATGAGGACATGGTCGTCTCGAGTTCTTCACCGAGTGGCCAAAAGGCTCTTCGACACAGCGGCGCCTCTCGCGATTTTTCTCACTCCTCCAACCCAAAAGCCGTAACGAACAAGTCCACTACTGATGACCTTCCACAGTACGTGTACGCATTAGCTTTCCATGTCATAACTTTCTGGTTCATGGCTTTGAAACTGCCGGAGAGACATCAGCAGATAAAGTGGATTACTCAAAACCTAGTCTACCAAAACAAAGCTGGACAAAATATCATCGAAGAGCAAAGCCAAGTCATCATAGATTTGATGCAAATGGTGGCATATTCGGACCGCGATGAAACCACCCCAAATCCAGACTTCGCAAAACCCTCAGATGGGGACGTCTTGAAGAAGACATGGCTTGTAGGACACAGCTTGCTAACACTGGAGACAACTGGGAGGACTGGCGTAACCCAGATGACGAGTAGGAGACCGTGCGGTACTCGTTATACTAGTATCCGTCCTCTTGTCACACAACTTCCTCAACACCATATCCCAATAGCCTCCGGCGAGACCTCGGAAGCTTTCTTGGAGTCGTCCTATCCGAGCATTCTTCCAGATGATATCTATCAAAGCTACTTCGGACCACTGAATTTCCCTTCTGCTCTCGGTGTGCTCCCCGAACCGCCAACATGTCTACCAGAGGACGATATGAGTCGACGGGCCATTGCAACTTTTGACCGCAGCCCCACAGTCGATGGCCACAAAATTGGTGTCATCTATATCGGCGAAGGGCAGACTGACGAGCGGGAAATTTTACTCAATGTCATGGGATCCTCTGACTATACTGCCTTTCTCGGCGATCTCGGAACGCTAATGCGTCTCAAAGGTGCCAAATTCAACACTGGCGGTCTCGATACTCGTTACGACAGCGACGGCGAATTTACTATTGCGTGGCGCGACCGCGTTATGGAAATATGTTATCACATCACCACAATGATGCCTACGAATCTTGAAGGCCATGAAACTTACGCAAACAAAAAGCGACATATCGGGAACGACTTTGTCAATATCATCTTCAACGACTCTGGCCTTCCGTACGACTTCAACACTTTCCCTTCCGCTTTCAATTACGTCCATATTGTCATCACACCTGAAGCGCGGGCTTCATTCATCGAGCGCCGTCTAGACCTGGACCCAGACGGTAGGACTCGATACTATAAGGTCCAAGTCGTCCCGAAGCCCGGCTTCCCCGAAATATCCCCAGCAGCCGAAAGCAAGATGATCAGCGGCAAACACCTTGCTGCCTATTGCCGCCTTATCGCAATCAACGCCAGCGTGTTCTCGCAAGTCTGGTTCGAGCGTGAGGGCGGCGAGTCTGTATCCTCATGGCGGCATCGACTACGCCAGATTGTAAGGCTGCGCGAGCGATATATACCTAAGCCTGTGCCCCAGAAGAATGATGATTCTCCGTCTTCGCCCTCTAGCGAGTTGAACCGTTTCTCGAGCCCACCTGCACCGAGTTCGAGAGGCAGTAATATGTCTATGAGGGAGAGCAAGGTCACTGTCAAGCGGTCTAGCAACTTCACTCATGTTAGTGAGGGTACGAGCAGGAGTAGTATGGCGAGTGGTGCTGCCGATATGGAGCGGCAGGGCTCAGGCACGTGAGAAATTAGACAGCTTCCTCAGCCTTCAGTGTTCTTTCATGCGGCATGGATTCGGCGTATCAAGGTCTCGGATAAGACCTGCTATTACGCATCGCGACTCGAAAATACACTATTCCCCTGCGCATAGCGAATGCACATATACCCCGGGGGCGTTCAAGGCATTCACAGGATACATATTTCCTTTCTCTCTGTCTCTCCATTCTCCTCTTTTTTCCTCGTTTCTCTCTTTTTGTCTCTCAAAAGTCGTTTCGGAGCGTTGGCTGGGATGTCTACGGTCCTCGGAGTTGTCTACCCTGCACACAAAAGTCCTTTATGCGTTTCCTTTCAGGTTATGTGTGTTCCTTTGCGAGCATGGCCACCCACAGCGACCGTCTGCATACTGCTTTGAACTATGTTTATGGGATTACATGCCTTTCTCCCATGTGTACAGTATAGTAGTATGTGTAACATAGCGACACGCGAAGTGGTTCGTGCCACTCAATGCTGAACCAATTCAGTTTTTCGTTCATTTTACATTCCATGGTTCAAGGTCCGCAGTCATCACGTAACAAAACCAATAAAATTACTCGTATATATAACCCTGGCCCCTCGGCCCCCTCTCTCCTTTCGCACTCAACTCACGAAAAGCTCTTCCCCATCACCTTGCTCACGTCCCTCTCCCTTACCCCCCTATCCGCCCTCTTCCTCAACCCCAGTCCCCTTTTCGCAACCAACTCCTTCGCCGGCAAACCCCCAAAACTCGTCCCGTACTCCGCCACCGCCGCCGCAATCGCCCTCGCATTCAGCACAAACGCCGTCATATTCAAATTCGCCACCGTATCTCCGGGCCCATGGTAATTCACATCCGTCGCCATCCCCGCCTGACCCCCAAACAGCCCCGCCTCCTCCGCCGTCTTGATCTCCTCCGCCCCCGTGAACGTCCCGCCCGCCGGGATCCCGTTGTCGATGAACGCCTGGTAGTCCGAGCGCCCGTCAAACGCCGTGGGCACGCTCCCCGGCCCATTCCTGTCAAAGTAGTCCTCGAAGAAATGCTCGATCTCAGCCGACCCCGCGGGTCCGGTTTGGTTGAACGCGGACCCGTCGCCGTCGTAGACGGCGTAGATGTAGTTCGGGCTCGCGATCATGTCGAAGTTGAGGTACGCGCGGACGTTGCGTAGCTCGCTGTCGGACAGGCTGTCGACGTAGTAGGTGCTGCCGAGCAGGCCCTCTTCCTCGCCGCTCCAGAAGCCGAAGCGCACGGCGTTGGCGACGCGGTAGTGGGAGAGGGCTTTGGCGACGGCGAGCAGGCCGATGGTGCCGCTGCCGTCGTCGTTGATGCCCGGCCCCGCGGCGACGCTGTCGGTGTGCGCGCCGAGCACGAGGGTCGTGTTGGGCGCGCCGCAGTTGGAGGTGGCGATGACGTTGGCGGTGTGGGCGGTTTCGATGACGGTTAGCACGGAGAGGGTCGCGAGGAGGGTCGCACCGCTGGTGATTGAGGAGGCGAGGGCGGCGCCGTCTTCCTGCGAGAGGGAGACGGTGGGGATGTAGGGCCCTTCGGTGCGCGGGAGGCCGAGGGTGCCGTTGAGCGAGCCGGGGATGTTGTTGTAGATGATTGCGCCGGCGGCGCCCGCGAGGCCCGCGAGGACGGATTTGGCGCCGAATTCGCAGGAGCCGCGCAAGATGAGGGCGATGTTGTTGGATACGGCGGCCGGGTAGTCGGACTGGAGGAGATTGTTAGGAGGTGATTCGGGGTGGGTCATGTGAGTGTGGGATTGGTGCTTACGGCTTCACAGCCAAAGTTGGAGACAACGACGAGGAGGGCCGTGACGTCGCCGCTGGCGGAATACTCCATGATTCCGGGCGCGTACGCGGTGCCGTTGATGGTTAGGTTGGCTTCGGCGCTGATTTGGACCAGCGAGCTCCATTCTTGCCGCTCGACGGTGTAGTAGTCGTTCAGGGAGGTTAGTTCTTTGATGAGGTAGGCGACGGTGTCGTTGTGGCCCAGCCCGCCCATCAATCTGTTGCGCTCGGGATGGGCGTAGGCGAAGGACTCGAGGGATTTGGCGCCCTTAAGGAGGGCGGCTTCTTTGATGTCGTGTTGGAGGTGTTTCTGGGGACGGTTAGGATGTGGGTGTTGTCAATTGATCAATAAAAAATTAGAGTTACGCTTACAGAGCTCACAGGCGGCAGATGCTTGCATTGCTTGCATTGCTTCGGTGGAGGGTGGTGATGACCTGGTCCACCAGGGGTTGGGGAGCTCAATGCCAAGGTAGCAAGAGCGCCAATTGCGGCGGCATACTGAACGGCCCTCATAATTGCAGTATCTACAGACCTCTTGAAAGCTGCAAAAGGTGATTCGAACATTCTCGGTGAGGGGTACGATCAAATTTAAGTACCTGCATCACCGCCCAGCTTCCAAGAGCTACAGATTGCATGCTGTGTACCTGAGAGGTAAGAACCAAACCTCAGGATCGCGGTGGCTTCCGGCAACATTGTGCAAGTACTGTGCCCAGGTGCAGTTATCAAGTTCGCGCAATGCCAAGCCGGTGAAACAACTCTTAAAGAGGGAGGAGAGAAGAATCTCCAGCCGGGCTAGATATCCTCCTCGCGCGGTCAAGAGATGCGCAGCACGCCTCCCGCTCATCGATGGCGAACCCTCTAGGAAGCAACTTGCGGTGTTTGGTGAGAGCGGAGCAATGCCCAGGCCCCGCGAGCTGCGAATGGAAGGTGCCAAGCCTTGCACAAGACTTCCGCCCAGGAAATTTGATGTCAGACGCTGAAATAAAACATGTTGGGAACCTTGCTAGGACCTTGCTAGCGGAAGCTGAGAGGGATTCCCTCATGATCACCTTGATACCTACCTATTCGATCGTCCGCGCTTCCGGCCTAGAAGCAGGTTGTGGTAATTCACTGTCGAGGGAGGGGAGGTTACGCAGCGTCACGCCATTGGGAACACGAGGTTGCAGGTGCTGTGCTAGGATATTGAATTGTCATGTTCGCTTCTGCGGCGGAAATTGAGGGGACATTGATGGCAATCCGCACGCGATGTGAAAGACAGAAGAGCATCAGCGGTTTCGATTGCTGGAAGTAAATGCCCAGAATAATGTAGAATATTCTATCGAACCAGAGTACGTCGGGCAGGGGCAGACCAGTCCAGACCAATGGCCGAAATGTATGTTCATCGAACGGTAGCAACCGTGGTAGGCTGTGCGGATACGTGGGGCATTGTGAGGCCTCGGTCGGGATGAGAGCAGATCCGTGGAGTCAGGGAGCCCAGGAGTGTGAGCGGAGTGGAGAACAAATCGATCAGCTCTGCCAAGCCTGCCGGAAGGGACTAGTGCCGCCTCTATCTTCACTTCATGTCTCCGCAGTTTCTTCATAAATCGCCTGCAGGCAAGCGAAATCATATCTCAGCAACTGGTTTACAGATAATGGTGCTGTCAAGAGGATCCATGATGGTCAGGATGCGGAACCTTCGGTGCCGCTTCTCTCAATATTAACAGCAGCGCCAGCTCGTCGGTTCACAGTCAATAAAGCAGAATAACGCAAAGATCATCGCGCATAGCTACCTCCTACGATTAGCTCGGCGCTAGTAGACCCGAGGAACACCGAGAAATGAAACTTCGGGTCCACTAGAAATGACTGCGAAACTTGGGCGGAGTCTTGACCAATCCAGGGCTATCACTTTTGCCTCAGTCTCGTCCAGAGCCATGCATCAGAAGAACATCATATACGACAGTTGTAGAGCGCAGCTTCAGCTTCAGCTCTTCAGCGAACACGATACTAACCAAGATGCAGTGAAGAGGATGGTTCCGAATCCGGTCATGTGACGTGCAGTTATAACTCTTCTTCGACGATCCTTCATATCCAGGGGAATTGCCCCGGAAACGCTTCATTGAAATTCCAAAGGGCTACTTATGGCTATTCACTCTAAGGCGCTCGTTTAACTTGAGTCATACCCGGAGGCTCGCCTTCCGATCGACAGTAACGTTTATGATTCCGGGCAGCCCTTCAACGTGTACCCATTATAGTCTCCATGGCTTTGTACCGTGTCTCTTTCATCAAAAAGTTCCGTAGGACTCACAGCAACGTCCTTATTGGACTTTTGATATTGGTTTTCCCTTTCTGGGGTGGTAACATAAACATGGTACCGAGCAACGCGCAGCCTATTAACGTCGGTACTATGATTCTATTCGTCAGTGGTGGAACTGCGTTGGTTCGACTGTTCTGACTCTCAGTTATTCCCGATGTATCTGGTGGTTCACGGGTGGGTATCAACCTTCCAACTAGACCCGTCGCTGCACATCTAGGTTCGAGGGAAAGAGCGCCTTGCCGTCAGTATTCATCTTAGTCGCCGCCTTCTTTCCTGCAAACCGCATACATTCAACTCAACACTTCAGTCGCTCTTCTTAATACGTGCTATTCAACATTCGATTCACATACTTTACCAATACGTGGCTCTGCACTTGTCCTCTCGGTGTTGAAGGAGGTGGCAATCAGTCCAATCTACCAACGCAGTTATGGCAGGAAAGAAGAAGCAAAAGGAAGAATCAAAGGAAGAATCGGAAGAAACATCATGGAGAGTCTCGCAATTGTTGGAAAGGTTGGAAACCGACCTGAAAGATAAAATGACCGAGGGAGCTTTTAGGCTCTTCTACACGTCGATCGTTAATTTGGGTGCTGACGATGATGCAAGAGTATCGATCAGTCAGTGGAACTCCCTGTACCGGAGTGCGGAACGTGTGGCACGGTTGATTTCAGACCGCGATACGAATGCAGAAATGGCCGACGAACAGAAAACCACCAATCCCCAAGTTTTCCATCCACCGCACGATCTGGAACCCAAAGCTTGGGTCGACTATAAGGGCCGCATCTTCCGTAGTTACGGGGCCGAAAAAGACCTGGCTGAGGTCGTCCTACATATTGCAAAGTTGCAAGGCTTCGAACAGGCTACAAACAACACCAAGACGGATAGGATTCTCGCGAAATGCCCAGATCGCCTTCGCTGCTTCTTCCTCATCGAAGGATTCTACAGGACAGGCGAACATCTCGTCGGCTTTTTGCTGCCGCCCCTCGACCATCTCAGAACTCTGGACTTCGATACCGCTATCGCAAAAGCGGAAGTCTTCATTGCACCATGCGCAGACCTTGAGCTCACATTAGCCAAATTCGCCGGCCGGGGCTGGCAGCCTGTTCCGAATGTAGACGATATCATGGAGAACGCCACCGACGAGGAGGAGGATGACTCAGACGCTACCGAGGAGGAGGGGGAGTACGACGCAGATGTCGAATCAGAGGGCGATCCGGTTTCGATCGAAGAAATCACCATTGGAGTCTCGGCGAACATTTTTCGAGTACTCAATGGTAAGCATCAGAAGTACTTTGAAAGTAGAGAAGGGGCAGGGGGTCTCCCCCTTTATACTCTAGTACAACTGCATCCAGATGACTCACTGTACTCAGGCAGCGAAGCGTCCACCCCGAAAACGAACTACAGAGCCAGACCAACGGGTCCGGCTCCGGATCCTGATGCGATACGCCGGTCAAAGCTCAAGCCCGGCCAGATCGGTCGAATCCAGCGCGAGATCAATTCGTGCTCGAACTCGCGTTTGGAAGTCGGGCCTGAGCAATCTATAGAAGAACAATTCCTGGCGCGTAGGTTTTTCCTCACGGCAAAAAAATGGGTTAAAAATGAGCATCGGAGAAACAAGGACCGGGGATGCGAGAGGAGGTGGCTTTGATTCCAGCATAGGCAGAGATTACATCAGGAGGCTGTGTTGGGAGATCTTGTCATGAGAGTTTTCGGGGAGTGGAATGGTGTTTGGCATCTCTGGGTTTTGGAGAGTTGAGCGCGGTTATTACTATGCGACCTAGACCAGAGTGTGGTATCAATATCGGAGGCTGGTGTAAGCCGTTCAGAGGAATGTATTTTCAAGGCACCTCACGGGCTTTAGTTCTAGAGATCGGTAGAGACACTTCAGAGGAATGCAGTTTCAAGGCACCTCGTGAGGTGTGGTATTACTTGTAACATGTTTTCCTAGTCGCCGCATCAAGTCGCGAGAACCCTGCTAATGAATTGCGCCTAGTATGAGAGCTATGATCTTCTACTTACAGTACTGGGCTACAAGTCTGGGCACACGGATATGGCAGTACTTCATTTCGGCTTTTGGTCGCTCCATACACTGTCAGGACCAGCTCAGCTGCAGTAATTCAAGAGGCAACCCGATTCGTTCTTCCCAAACTACCCATAATAAACTCTCTCTGGGCAACTTGCTGGCCCTGAGTAGTGTAGCTTGCGTAAGTGGAAGAGCGAGGAATGAATGCATGTACCACTATTGTCGTTCTTTCCTTTCCCACTTCACCTTGCATAAATTTCTCATGCCAAACATTGATGGGAGAGTGTCGGAGATCTTTAGACGATGACTGATCTGCGAGGTGTGCGCAATTATATCGCGCCGTCTAAAATTCAAAGTCTGCGAGCCCTCCAATACCTTGCGAAGCCTTGCAGGGTGAGCACGATCTAGTTTTATTTCTGAATTAAAAAAATATATCAGTCAACCCATCAAGGAAGGCTGGTCCACAAATTCATTGTTGGCGTGTTCTTCCTTATATATATCATTTGTGCCATTATCGGGTCCGAGGTGCTTCGCGTTTGGTATGATGTCACTATCAGATCACGCATATTGCTAATTTTAGTAAAGTATGGATAAGAGCTACAGTACGTATGTCCGGTTGATTGTTCGTATATGGCATATTCACGTTAATGGTCGTAGGATTAGCGTTGAGATTGCATTTCTAGCACTAATAAGGGTAACTATGCATGTTCTAAAGTCCTCCGCTTTGCGGATAACGTTGCCATACGCCTATCTATGATTTACTACATGGGCTGCCTCAAGGTAACATCAATCTACACTTCGCTGTCTTGAACACTAGAACATAAGGCTCTAGTCGTGACCGCCTTCTCCTCTCTCAAAACCTAGACGGGGACGTTCGAGGCTGTATAGCAAGGCAACTCACTAAGCAGCCTACGTGAGCTCTCGGCTCGAACGTGTCGCTATTTTGGGGTCCACCTTAGAGTTTCATCGCACCCCGCTTCCGGAAGAATTCCGACTTGCACCTGTCGGTCTGGTGGCTGTACGCTTTGTACCAGTCGCCAGCGGCGAAGCAGTGCGCACACTGAACTTGTTCTTCGCAGTCAACGACAAGGTGGCCGTCTTGGCTGCAGCGAGTGCAAAACTTCAGTACACCTTGCAGATCGTTCTCCTTGGAGCTCGCCAAGGTGGCAGCTTGTACGTTCTCTGTCAGCTGCGCCATTGACGTTGTCTTCTCATCGAAAGTTTCCGCTCCTTTGCCACCGTGCCCGGCCATCAATATGGCACACATCATGGTGTATGCGATATCATTGCCACAATTGTGGAGCTCCTTCGGGTTGATGTCAAGTTCTCCACACAACTTCGCGAGGCCGGTGACTTGCTTTCGCTTAGGTCCAATACACGACATCCTTCGCCATCTTCTAGGTGTCAAGCGTCTTGACAATTGTCCCAAGCTTCTCCAAGTTTAGGCCAATCTTCTCTTTCAGCTTCTTCACATCACTGTGCAAAGCATGCCCGAGGAAGACGATCGGTCGAAGTCGAGGGTCCTCGATGTCCTCATCCGGCCACGAGAAGCAATCTATCAAGATCTGCTTGGCCTCTTCCATGGAGACCCATACGGTGGTACCAAATTCGAAGGCGTCCGGGTGACCTTTGCGAAACTGGTAGTGGCCGAAGTCCTTGATACGAAAGCGATACACCTACATCTGCTTCAGCCAATTTTCGCCATTCTGTCCTGGTTCGACGCCGCGAATATCGCGGGTGTCCAACACGGCGAGTCCTACTTCCGTCAGTTCTCGAGGCTCCCGGCCGTGCCACTCTAAGTCGATCGCGTTGATCATGAGATCCTCGCCTTCTAGTAGAGCGTGTTGCAGGACCTTCGTGTGGGAGATGTCCAACAGGCGGCGTGCAAGAGAGGGAAATTTGCAATGCGAAGGTGCCTGGCTCGAAAGCCAGCGAGCCTCGTCGTTGGCTCTCGCGGTGTCCCAAGGAGCGACGATGCTAGTGTCAATGGTAGGCACAGCTTGTGCCCATGACTGTATCTTGTCGGGGTTCGGAAGCCCAGCCTGAGCTATTGATGCTCAGGTAGGCGGCATTGTGTAATGGGTTTGAGGAAGAACTTGGGTGCTGGATTGATGGGCGCGGTTAAGGAGGTTGTTATTAATGGTGGGAAGCGTTTACGGGAAAGAATGTCCTTGACTGATGCGATTGGACTAACCTATATATTCCAGAAGCGCCTCGAAGTGAATGTACAAGTCAGTGAAAGTTCAGGCATTGTAAGTATATAACAGCACAGTAATATACATTCACTTCTTCTACAGCATGATGCCCGAATGGTAGGCGGCAACGTGAAGTGCTGCACAACGGTTATAGCGCACGTTAAAGATTGGACTGGCCATGTTCCCGCACAATGCCGGAGGCTTATAAAGAGTGGAAAAAGTATGATTGCTCCAGAATCGATCATTTTACATACAATGTTGTTTGAGACGAGCACACAATGGCTAACTTAACGCGAAGCAGCAAGTAAGACTGTCGATGGTGCTAGAAGGGGCAAGATTCCGACTTAAAACATCGGAACCAAGTCAGAGTTTTCTTCACAAACAATATTTGGGAGGTCATGTAACAACACAAGTTAAATTAGATTCGTTTCATTCAACTATCATCTAATTCATCTAGACGGAAGCATTGCTTCAATGCCTTTGGAAGTTCAAAGCTCTCGCAAGCCTAACGCCTAAAGTGTTGCATCTATGCCTCCGATTTCGCGGAACATGAATCAAACATGACTATTCTCGGGTGTGGACTGGAGCCGTCTCAAAGGCTCTTAGTTCTCCTGCGGGATCAGCCTCTGGTAGTATTGCGACTTGCAGCGGTCGGTGTCATGGCTGAAGATTTTCGCTTTCCGCTCGCCAGCAGCCTCGCACTTCTTGCAACGTACTCGATCTCGGCAGCCCTTCTCGAGATGACCATCTCGATTATAACGAGCGCAAAACTTGGTCATGCCCCAGCTCGGTGGGTCGAGAGCGCGTCCCGCTGCCTTGACCTCGTCTGTAAATTTCTCCATCTCCTGGCGCCGGGCTGGCGTGATGAAGATCTTGTCTTCCTGTGCGGCCATCAGCAACGCACAAAACATCGTGTATGCGATGTCATTCCCAGCGTTATGAAGCACCTGGATGCTGATTCCGTGCTCGTAGCAGAGATCTTTTAGACCGATGACTCGGCGGCCTCTCGGTCTGATACCCTTCAACTTTGCTATCACCTGGGTGCCTACGGATTTGACGATGGTCCCTATGGCCTCCAAGTCGAGGTCTAGCGCCTTCTTGAGCTCAGCGGTATTGTTCTCCACGGCGTGGCCGAGGAAGAGAACTGGGCGAAGCTTTAGTTCCTTTCCATCGCTCAGATCAGTGCTCTCGTTATCCTCCACTGGCCAGGAGAAGCATTGAATCAAGGCCTTCTTGGCTTCAGCCTTGCTGAGCCAAACCATGGTCCCCCAATCGAACCCCTCCGAGTGCGCAAAGGTATTTGGGAGATGCCCGTGTTCCTTGATCCGGAAATGGTAGAAATATACCTTGCGCATCCAGTTCTCCGCATTCCAACCGGGCTCTATGCCCCGAATGTCGCGCGAATCTAGCACAGCAAGACCGATTTCGATCATCTCACGCGGCATCTTCGTATGCCACTCTACATCAATGGAGTTGATGATAAAGTCGGACGACTCGGATTGGATTGCATATCGGAGGGCGTCCGCCTGGCTGCTGATCTGGTCCATCTGGCGGTATAGGGCTGGAAACTTGCAGTTTGGATCTACTGGTATCAGATCATCCCAGGGTGAGGGCACGAAGTCGTCCATAGCCCCTTAGTCTAAGATTCCTAAGGTTGTTGGTACTGGGGACGAGTGCTACCACGTTTCTTCTTGGTGACTACTTGCCAGTCCGACATATTGTAGTAGTTGGAGTGGAAGTTGGAAGTTGAGTTGTGGTTCAGAGTTTGGGAAAGGGGGGTTTGGTGGTGGTGTGGTGCTGAGTCCAGAGCGTTTGAAAGATGTGGTAGGTTATACATTACAGTGATCCAGTTGATTTATATCTCCCAAGGACCGACCCTCGAAGTGAATTCACAACGTGGACAGGGTGGTAAGTGGTAGACATTGTAAGTGATCGGTTCATTATACAATTTTTATTAATGAATGCTAGACTGACATGTCACTGAGCAGCTCAATGTTGGCCGCTGTGCCGCTCTCGTAAATATATCGGCTAGCAAACTAGGTCAGACTGAGACAACTGCTATGACAAAGCGAGAATCAAAACAAGGCTAGGATATGCCCTCAAGTTCTAAAAGAATCTTTCAAGATGCTTTGCCACCATGTCCATTCATGTCACGTCGAGAGTGCTAAGTAGGTAAATTTCTCAGACACTTCAGATCTAGCTGAGTTCACGGGTTATTAATAACAATTAAAATCACTATAGTTCAAGAGTCAAGATAGAAGCAGTATTTTGAAAGAGAAGCCGTAGCCGTATCTCTTTGTATTGATTGAATGTCTACGGTATCGCTGTCCGAAGACACGATCTTGTCAAAACCTCAGAAATATCCAACACCGACTACCAAATACCTTCCGAACAATTTCCTATTCATACGAGCCAGCAACAGGAGAATTACTAATACCGTAGGCACCGATCAGTCTGGTGGCTGAACACTGTTCTCCATGGCTGTTTGGCTTCCTCGCACTTCTGGCATCGGACACGTGCGCGACAGTTCACGCTGAAGTGGCCTTCGGCGCTACACCGAGTGCAGTATCTACGAACACCATTGATTGGCTGCTTCTGAGAGCGTCCGAATTTCTTGACGCGGAGGATTAGCTGGGCCATTTCCTTCTGCTGCTCCCTGATTTTCGATGAGCTCAGAGTGAGAATCTCGTCATAATTATCGATTTCTCGGAGTTCATTTACCTCATAGCATTTGTAACCCATGGAGAGAGCGCAGAGCATAGTATACGCTATGTTGTTCCCTGCATTATGAAGTTCTGTAGGGTTGATCTTGAACTTCTTGCAGAGATTCTCGAGACCGATGGTTCTTCTACTACGACGCGGACCAAGGCCCAAGTCCTTAGCAATCACCTATGTGTCCACGCTCTTAACGATGGTTCCGAGATCAGCCAGGTCCAAGCCGAGGCCCTTCTTCAGTTCCTTCTCGTCATTGCCAAGTGCGTGGCCTAGAAAAAGGACTGGTCGTAGGTCCGACTCCTTGTCCGCCTCATCGGTGCGAGGGGTGAAGTACTTGACGATGGTGTCCTTCATTTCTTCCTTGCTGACCCACATAGTGGTACCCCATTCGAAGCGCTCAGGGTGGCCTATATAATGCTTGTTCTTCATATGGCCATGCTCCTTAATTCGGTAATGATGGAATTGTACTTGCTTCATAAGATTATCCGCATTCGCCCCTGGACCATCCTTTAGAGTATAGAGGTCGCGAGTATCCAGGACTGCGAGGCCAATCTCCGTTAGCTCTTAAGGCTCGACATCATGCCACTCGAGGTCGATGGCACAGATTACGATATCGGAAACCCCTTGCTCGGTCGAGTGGATTCCAAGGGCATGCTGGATGGCTTCTGTGTCCGTAAAGTCGATCATTCGCTTACGAAGCTGTGGGAACTTGCAGTTTTGGCCGAGGAGGCTTGGTTCATCTGCCGGTAGCCTTGAAGATGATGAAGACTGCGAGTCATTAGCCGAGAGTGCTGATTGTGCATCAAGGGTTGAAGATCCCGAGTCGTCGCTTGACTCTTGATTCTTTCCCGGGACTGTAGCAGAGCAAGTCTTAGGCAGAATTCGTGGCACCGCAGGGACAAGTTTTGGAACTGCAGGAAAGATTCGCGGGACCGCTGGGGCACGAACAGCAGTAGCCATGTTGGCCGAGCCGTTTGCTGCCTCCGATTTTGGCGTGGGTCCTTCGAGAGACTTTCAGACAACGGAGGCCCAAGACATTGTGTTGGCCGAAACACAGGACGGAGATTGTACATATTGGCGGATGTGAAATTTGGGGCAAGGTGGGTGGTGTGGTTCCTTCTAGTGCTTGTGGTCTGGTGGAAAGTGATGTGGTCCGTAAAAGATGAACCATAAGGTCGAGCTAATTTATATAGGGGTATATTAGTAGCTTGCGAGTACTAATCAGTGAATAATTGTACAGACACTATGACTTAGGTTGCAAATTGACGTGAACTCTGTTTGATTTGTGAAGCCGTACGAGCAGACTATATACTACATAGGGAGCGTAGGCATAAGCAGAGTGGGGAACAATCAACTTAAGTTGATAGATTGATTGATTTGATTTGGTTCAACCAAATCAATCAATCAATCCGAAGAGGTGGATTTTATCAATCAAATCAACTTCAAGGCATCAAATTGATTGATTTGATTGGTTTGATTGATTCCTATTTGCGGAGCGTAGATAGAGTATCCTATAGAGAGCCCACCTAGCAGAAGTGCTTACTAAGCAGTCTCCTAACCCTGATTTTCATCCTAACTCACATCAACGCGTCCAACACCATACCACCTCTGTACAATATCGCACCCAGCAATGAATCAGAACCTTCAGAACGTACAGCAGGAAGTTATCGCACGCGCAAATCGAAAGAAACCTCCCCGTAAGGTTAATTCTATGCGCGCCGAAGTCAACACGAATGAACACGTCGAAACACCTGCCACGAACGACGACGATGTTGACAACGACAACCTATATGAGAACCTCAATTAGCTACGGGTACCGCATCTGCAGAGAAGGCCTTACGAAACCTTACGACCGTCAAAAGCAAGCTGGATTTACGCGTACGGTTGGCCTGTTTACCATCGAAAGCAGCGCCAGAAGTTCTGGCTCTGCAAGTACTGCCACATACACAGAATACCTAGCGGCGAGTTCAACGTTGAGAAGGCTACTTCGTCAGCTATAGCTCACCTAGGGCGGCAACAGCGTGGCCACAGGGTTAATAAAGATGGCCAGATCAACTTCTCTACTCCAAACCAGACGTCAGTGTTGGCGATAATGCAGTTCCAGGGCATTAATATTCCACAGGACGTGGCCAATAAGCTGGCGGACAGCTTCAATCGGGCGAAGTTTCTACGCGCTGTTCAACACTGGGTTGCTAATAATAATCAGGCTTTACGCGTTATTAAGAAGCCTGCCTTCCGCAGCATAATCGCTGCTGCTAGACCTATCGCCGAATTAAGCCTATGGAAGACCTATTGTACACTCCGAGAATCCATTATAGCCAAGTACAATTCCTATATACCCGCCGTGATTAAACACCTCCAGCAGGCGACTAGCCTCATCCACATATCATTTAATAATTGGACTTCAGTTGGCAACAAGCGTGCGCTTACTAGGATATGTGTACATCATCTAAACAAGAATAGCCGGCCAGAGGACTACTTGTTAGGCCTGCCTGTTCTTCTAGGCCAGCACTCAGGCAAGAACATCGCGGAGATAGTCAGCTCAACGTTACAATTGTTTAAAATTGATGCTGAGCGCCTTGGCTACTTTGTACTTGACAACGCCATAAACAACGACACTGCTTTAATAGCGATGGCCGATGAGTTCGAGTTCAGCATCTCCCAGCGTCGGTTACGCTGTACCTGCCATATTCTCAACTTAGCTGCCTAAGCAATTATATGGGGTAAGGATAAGAAGGCATTTAAGAGCATGGACGTGAATATACGGGTAAAATCACGTCTCTAATCTTATTACTATTCTATATTGCGCTAACAGTAATATAGGAAGAAGAACTGCTGATGGCAGAGTAGAGGAAAGCCAGGCCTATCGGGGTGCTATTCGACGTTATATCATCTATTAGCGCCTCTCTATAAGCCCGAGAGCTGTTCATTAAGCTGCAGGCAGAGGACTCAAAGCGCCGCAACGAATCTCACAAACCAAAGGAGCTTATCAAGCCTGTTAGAACTCGGTGGAACTCTTACTACGATTGCTTTGAGCGCGCCTGCGAGCTCTAAGGCCCTCTCGACGCGTATATACACATGAAGCTCGAGGAATATAATATCAAAGCAGCATCTCGGCGCAAGGATACAAAGAAGGAGAAACCGCGGTGCTTTATCAAGGAGCGAGGGCTAAACGCAGGTAATTGGGCAACAATTACAGAGTATAAGCAGCTGCTTAAGCCGTTTAAGGATGCAACAACGTGGCTACAGGGCAGAGGTTCAGCTGGTAGCCACGGAGCTATTTGGGAAGTTCTCATCATATTCGAATGGCTACTCTCGGCCCTTAAGGAGCAGAAGGAGAGGCTTGAGGCTATTGACTACAAGGATCTAGATGCACCCGAAGATTACTTAGTTATTAACGTTAATGCCGCCCATAAGAAGCTCGCGGATTACTACGGGAAGATAGAAGACACCCCCATCTATTTTACAGCTATAATACTTCATCCAGCATACAAACACGCGCTTAAGGGGCTATAGAAGGTGCCGAAGGATCACAATACAAAGCGCAATAGGCTACATCCGTACAAGAACTGGCTTTTAAATGGCTATAGCTCCTTCCGGCTGCTGTGGCAGGCACATAAGGATAAGGTGGCTGCAAAGGCTGCTGGCGCAGCATCTCCTACCTCGTCTCCTGATGTGAGGCCTGCAAAATGCCGTCGAACAAGCCCTACAAACGACCGAGCAGACTTCCTTAGGAACTCTATAGAGGAGGGCAAGCAGGAGATGGAGGAAACTGTTAACGACGAGTACGAGAGGTGGAAGCGCGAGCCAACTCTGAAACAGGACAACCCACTAGCGAAGGACCCTATTTAGTACTGGGTTATCACAAGAGATCGCTATCCTATTCTAGGCCAGCTAGCCCTTGATATCTACTCCATCCCAGCCTCCTCAGCTGATTGTGAGAGAATTTTCAGCGAACTTAGCGATCTCCTGGGCGTACGACGCCTTAATATAAAGCCTGAGTTACTTAGTGCTCTGCAATCTATACGCTCCTGGCGTCGAATTGGCATCAAACCTCCTAAGTAGTAATCAACTTATCAATCAATCTATTAATCAAACCAATCAATTCAACTTGGGGGTCAAAAAGTATCAATCTCATCAACTTAACTTGAGCATCTCAGAAATTAATCAAATCAAATCAAATCAATCACAGCCTGTTCAACGAAGCAATCAATCAACTTGGAGACGTCAAAGTTGATTGATTGATTGATCCCCACTCTGGGCATAAGTACTAATTAGAGGCAGCAGTAGGCAGCGGTAGGCAGGGTAGGCCACCGTACTCCAACCCCTCTCTGTAGAAGTTGTAATTGGCTAGGCACGTAGGCCGGAAACCCTGAGTCTATGCCTTTAATGTCGGAGTTCGATGAACATTCACCTAATCGCAGAGGTTCTCCGCGCACACTATTATTGTGGAATCCAGGTTGATATGCCAAAGCAGGTCTTCGATGAGTATCTTGTCGTAGGTCGCCTCCTCTTTGTCCCATATATTTACGAAAGATAAAAATCCGTATAAGGTTGGGTCAATAACAGATGTAAGGTAATACCTTCGTCTTAAAGCCTATTTATATTGGCCGTCACCTCGGCCGACTAAACACACTTGGATGCAAGAAAAAGGGTCTAAACAATGGATCTGCATAACTAAACATCGGTGACTCGTGAAAGGCATTTAACGTCCATCCCTGCGTGCCGAGAAACCCACCGTGCCGAGAAATATAAGGGGTACTTTAACTTTAAGCAACTTACACTCTATGCACACGTCGGTATTTGCAATAGTTCTATATAAGTTGTGTACTGTGGCTATTCCTAAACATCCAGGACCCCCTCTCACCTAAAAATTACGTTCGCATTCTCGCCTTTAAGCCTAATTTGTAGAGAGCCTTCTTTTATAGCATAACAGACTTCACTCCCTATAGAACCACTATAAAGCTCTTACTACTCTAAATACTAATAACAGGGTTTTATCCGAGCATCAGAACCTCGCTACAATGCTGAGAAGTTATTATCAGCCCGGTGACTGCTATGGCGTGCAAATTCATGCAAGGTCGCCATACAGACCGTTGGTACCTCCAATAGAAGCGATCACCAACCCGGGCTAGTGGAGAACAACCCCGCCTCACATAATCAATCATCAGTGTAATTTACTTAAAGTGGCTGTTACTCCTGTAGCTGTGCAGGGTCTTAGCAAGAAGGCCGACCTTAGCCCCCCAACCTTGCAATTCAACTTGGCTATGCTTCCAGCTAACCAACTCAACTATCTAAGAATATATACAGAATCGCCACCTTACAAAAGTGTGGCCAGAGCAGGTCCGCCACCTCCCTGCTAGTGCAGCTAAGACTGGAACTTTTGCATATATATTTTTAAGCTTTCTATAAATAACTTAGTTAAGCGACAACTAGAAGATTCTGGAGGGTAACATCTGGCAATATAAATATTTGCTGCTCCCCGGCCCCCTCTATGAAATAAAGATTATAAAATAAATATATGAAATAAAAAGTAAGCATATTAAAACGCTTACTTGCAAGTGATTTTAAGAAAAGTAATACGGCCAGAAGAATGCCCCAAACAAATTATATCTTTATGCAGTGCTATACAGACCGGTCGGTATTCAGAAGGAAGCCATAACAGAGGCTGCTGGTTTCGTGTAACCCACTGATCTTGTATAAAGAGATTAGATGACTCCCTGTTCTTAAAGGAGGAAGTTCTTATAGGAGGTAAAGAGAGAGGAATGTCGCCTCTATTTGTCCGAAGAAACTGGCCATCCAGCGAGAAGGCTACGGCGTCGACAAAGCCAGAATGGCCCTCGAGCGTGCTGCGGCACGACCCCGTCGCTGCCTCCCACAGCCGCACGGT